CAACAGACTTGACAACCTTGACGTGTGTTAGGTGGGAGGGCTGGTATGGAGCCAGGCCTGATTCAAATCTGGTTCCTGTGCCTCTGGATTGGGATCTCAGAGGGACCCCAGTTCTTCACAGGGATTCCAAATGCCCAGGGCTGCCAAAAGCTAGCTTGGGAAACACAGCACTTGACAGTGGGTGTCAGGCCTGGGGCTCAGGCCTGGGGTGGCTCTCAGATGGGAAGTAGCTCCCAGTGGCGGGTATCAGTCTGGCCTGCCCATGTGTTCCAGCTCAAATCTTGCTGCCCCCTCTGGCGCCACCCCCGCCCCACCCCCGCCCCACCCCTCGCCGATCCCCAGATGGCTGTAGTTAAAGTTTGTTTTGTTTCCATATTCCCAAAATAAGCCTGGCCTACCCACCAGGTCAGCACCGGATGTAGACCAACTTGGTTTACGGCAGTCCGGTGTCTCGACGGGCCTTATGTCCCAGCTAGTGGGGTAGATGTGCCCTAGCACCTGGTGCTTGGCTCAGATGGCCCTTGCCATGACAGCCACCAAAGCCTGGTGGCAATTCTCTGCATCTCCGTGAGCATCTATACCCCTTTGCTAGAAGCCCTGTCTCCCTGGGCATCCAGAGAGCCCCCTTGGAAGGGTAGCTGGCTCTGCATAGCTTTTTTGAGGGCCTGAGGACCAAGAGATCCTACTGTTTCCTGTGTCCAGTTGGGACCCCCTTCTCTCTGAGCTGTGGGCTTCTCGTTAGTGGAGTGCATACCACAGTGGGACTGGGGGGTCTCAGACAGACAGTGTGCAAATGTGCTCAGCAGGCACATAGTAGGTGCTCAATGCAGTAGGCTGGGCCGAGATGCATGAGAGGTAGTTCAGGGAGTTGGGGAAAACAATATTCAAGGTAGAGGGAACAGTGTACTGGGTGGCCTAGAGCTAAGGAGCAAAACTATCACCCTGGAACCTCTCTGATTCCCAGAGCCTACAGTAAGAGCCTGGGTGGCTGTGGGTGCAATGCCTGTCACTGTATGTCGGGGCCATTTCCTTTCCCTGCCTTTCAGGCTGCCTTCCTCACAGAGCAGACTGGAGTTGTCTTCTAATTAACTCTCCAACAAACCATCCCTCTGAGCCCCTGTGATGTTGCCTCAGCCACTCTCCTGGCTCAGCAAGGAAGGAGCTGTGATGTTCCCCAGAGCAGAAGCCCCGCTTGCATGCATGCAGTCCGTGACCCTCTTTTTCAGAGGGCAGCCTCCCTGCCAGCCACCTTTGAAGTGTCCTGGCTCCCTCCTGGGAGGTGTCTGACTGCTCCCTGCTTACCAGGCCGGCAGCACCTGTGTCCGCCCCAGTGCCTGCACATCTGGGTACATCTGGGCCTGGCGCTCCTACCAGGGAGCCGGCCTGGCACCGCTTGACCCCGCCTAGGCCCCTGAACTCCCTCTTGTGAAGGGCTCAGAAGCTCCGTGCCAACTGCGCTGCCACGGAACTCTAGAAAACATCTTAAAACGGAACCTGGCAAGGCGGCTGCTTTTTAAAAAGTTTCGTAAAGCTGGGTTTCCTCCAATTTTAAATTAGAACAAGCTTCAGGAAAGAAAATTGGGAAAAACAGGGAAGCTGAAGGAGGAACAGTTGTGCTGAGTTCCGAGGACAAACATGCTCACCAATTAGACGGCTGTCTTTGGGGCCCATGCCTTTTGGTTTTTCTGAGACAGTCCCAGGCATTGCGGCAGACCTTGAACTCACTGTATAGCCAAGGACGGCTTTGAACTCCTGATTCTCCTGCCTCTACCTCCCGAGTGCTAAGATGACAGGCATGTACCACCACACCTGACTGGGACCTAGTCTTTTAACTCTTTTTTTTTTTTTTTAATTATTTCTGTGTGTTTTCTGTGTATGTGCACACAAGATCACCTCAGGGCTCTGTTCCTCAGCTGCTATCCACTTTGTTTCTCGAGACAGGGTCTCTCACAGGCCTTGGAGCTCGTGGATTCAGGCAGGCTGGCTGGCCAGTGAGCCCCAGGATTATCCTGTGCCCACCCCCACATCTGGTTACAGGCACGCATCCCGACACCCAGTCCTTTAGGCTAAGAGTTCGAACTCAGGTCCTCATGCTTGTGGGGCACACACTTTACAGGTGAGCCTCCTCCCCAGGCCCTCACGATCCTGCACAGTACCTTGTTTCTTTTTCCCTTTACCATCTTGACTCCAGCTTTCATCACGGACTTTGGTCACTATGGGAACTGCAGTCCTGTCGACCCCCACAGCTGTTTCTTCAGATCCCCAGTTTTCCCAAGTCTATAAAATGCCTTGACGGTTGGTCTGTGCTTTCAGGCCATGACCCCCGCCCACGAAGCTTCTTTTGTCAGTTACTGGGAATAGTCCTGAGGCTCCTCGTCTCTGTCAGCAAACTGCTTTCCCACAGGGACAATGTATTTACCCTAAATTTTTCTTTTGTTGTGGTGCAATACACATAGCTTATGATTGGATCTCCTTTCAAGTGTGCGCAATTTGGGGTCACAAACACATTCCCCCTGTTCTGAAGCTGTACCGAGGACTTTCAACTTAAGAAACAGAATGGGCTGCCCCCCAAGACTCTGCAGCCCAATTATAAAATGTATAATCTTTTAAAAACATTTATTTTACTGTTTAATTATATATATGCTGTGTGTGTCTATGTGTGGGTATGTTCACAGGCAAGGAGGTGCCGAGGAGGCCAGAGAGGGCGTCAGGTCCCTTGGAGTTAGAGTTACGGTAGATGTGAGCCGCCCAGTGCCGGGAACTCTAGTACTAAGTAAGAGTCAAATATGATCTTAGACATTGAGTCATCTCACCAGGCCCTGTACTACTGGTGTATGTGTGTGTGTGTGTGTGTGTGTGTGTGTGTGTGTGTGTGTGTGTGGTGTGTGTACCTGTGGAGGTGTGGTGTGGGTGTGTGGAAGTGTGGTGTGTGTGCATGCGTATGTGTGTAGTGTGTACATATGTGTGTGTGGTGTGTGATGTGTGTGTAGTATGTGTGGTGTGTGTGTGTGTTATGTGTATATATGTGTGTGGTGTATGTGTGGTTTGTGTGTGGTGTGTGTGTGATGTGTACATATGTGTGTGTGATGTGTGGTGTGTGTATGTGTGGGGGGTGTGTGTGGTGTGTAATGTGTGGTTTATATGTGTGGGGTGTGTGTGTGTATGTGGTGTGTGTGTGTGTATGTGCAAGCACGTGTGCATGTGGAAGCCAGAGCAGGTCAAGTGTCTTCCTTTATCATTTTCCGCCTTGTTGCCTTTTGGCTGGGTCTCTCACTGAACTGGAAGCTTGCTCTTTAGGCTGGCTGGCCACTAATACTTGGGGTCTGCCTGTCTTTGCCCTCCCCCACTCCCACCCACTCCATTCTGGGGTCACACATGCAGCTGTGCTTGACTTCCCATGGGTGCTGAGATTTGAACTTGGGCCTTCGTGCCTGCCAAGCAGGTGTTGCTATCTACTGACCATCCTCCAGCCCCTCTGGGCACTTTGTCTCCGTGTGTGAGATGCAAGGCATGTCTGCAGTGTTGATCTGTCTGTGACACACTTCTTCCATCTAGCACCACACCCTCAGGGCTCGTCTGTAGTTTAGGCCAAGGGTCAGGTTGTCCCACTTTCCAAGCTGGACAGCAGTCTTTTGCATGGCTGGGCCATCTGTCTGACATGTGCTGGGCAGTTTCTTCCTCTCGGCTGTCCTGAACAGTGGTGCTGTGAACGCAGATGCATGTGTGTCTTCCTTGATGCCTGCCTTCGGTTTTTTAAGGATATTCCACACTGGGCATGCCAGGTTGTAAGGTAAGGCTGGCTCTCGCTTTTCCAATGACCTGCTCCTGTTATCCGCAATGGTGGCGTTTTTTAAAACTTACCATCATCAGTGCAGAGTGGCCTCTATGTTGTCACCAACACTTGCTATTGCCTGGTGTGTGTGTGTGTGTGTGTGTGTGTGTGTGTGAAGGGCTCAGCTCAGTAGTACAATGCTTGCTTAGTTGACGTGAAGCGCTGGCTCTGCCTCTCACCACTTGAAAATAACCATGGAGTCAACTGTAGGATGCTGTCATCAGCCGCTAACAATCCTGTGCCCGTTAGTAGTCATTCCGCTTATCCCAAAGTCTCACCCTGACGTCCAAATACCGCTAACCTCCTTTCTGTGGCTGGGCTGTTTCCGGGCACTCGGCATAAGTGAGGTCAGCTAGCAGGGCCTCTGTTTTAGCGGCTTCGGCATCACCTCTCACGGGGCATGGCTGCATGGCACATCCAGACTTCATTCCTTGTTGCCTAGCAGTAGAGTACACCAGTGGGCAGACGTTTGGACCGTTCTTAGTGCTGCTGTGGACATGCACATCCATCTCTTCGTGGGTCATGTGTTTTGTGTTGTTCTTGGCCATCTGCCTGTGACTGGAACTCTTGGGCTGTACACCAACCCCGTTCAGCATGCTGACGTGACACCAGCTCGCTTCCCAAAGCGCCATTTCCGCTCTTACTCACAGTTGGGGCTTCACTTACCACACGTTCTACAGGGTACATAGTGTTAGTCTTTATTTTAATTATTTAATTATTTGTTTGCTTGTTTATGGAGCAAAAAGAGACACTGCCAGTCAGGGTATAATGGTTCAGATTCCCATACAAAGGGGTGGGTTGAACTAGATAAAATATGGGCAAGTATCTGGGCGGTGGTGGCGCACACCTTTAATCCCAGCACTCGGGAGGCAGAGGCAGGCAGTTCTCTATGAGTTCAAGGCCAGCCTGGTCTACAGAGCAAGTTCTAGGAAAGGCACCAAAGCTACACAGAGAAACCCTGCCTCAGCCCCCCACACACCCAGAAAAAGATGGGCAAGTAGCTGGGAAGCTGGCTGGTGCTGCCGTCCCCGTGTTCCCGACAAGCAACCGATGATGGTACTCCAGCCCACAGCTCCAGGGAGTTTCTGCCAGGCAGCTCTCCTGATTCCCCATCCAGGGCTGTGTCCCTGTTCCCTTCTGTAAGATGGTCTGCGTCTGCCTACTGCAGGGAAGGCCTATGAGATCACCTATGTGAGGCTGAAGTTCCACACCAGTCGCCCCGAGAGCTTTGCCATCTACAAGCGCACGCATCCCGGTGGACCCTGGGAGCCCTACCAGTACTACAGTGCCTCCTGCCAGAAAACCTACGGCCGTCCTGAGGGCCACTACCTGTGGCTGGGCGAGAATGAGAGGGTGGCCTTCTGCACCTCCGAGTTCAGCGACATCTCCCCCTTGAACGGGGGCAACGTCGCCTTCTCCACCCTGGAGGGCCGTCCCAGTGCCTACAACTTTGAGGAGAGCCCTGTGCTGCAGGTCAGTGGACAACAGGGCCTGAGGGGGGGGATCATGGGGGAATGGGGCAAGCCTGGGTTGGGGAACAACAGGCAAGCCAGAAGAGCTAGGACCTGAGTGCCCTTGGATCCTCCTGGCTGTCATACCTTAAACCCTAGAATCTTTTTGTGGGTACCTGGTTTTCAGTTTTATTTTTTTATTTCATTTTATTTCTGTTTTGTTTTGATTTTCGAGACAGGGTTTCTCTGTGTAGGCCTGGCTGTCCTGGAACTCACTCTGTAGACCAGGCTGACCTTGAACTCACTCTGTAGACCAGGATGGCCTAGAACTCAGAGCTCTATCTGTCTCTGCCTCCTGAGTGCTGGGACTAAAGGTGTGTGTCTCCACTGCCCGGCTTGGGATCTCAGCACCTAATAGGCTGAAGCGGGAAGATCAGGAGTCGCAGGCCCACCTGCATCCTGCCTGTCTCTCAGCTGTGCGAGGCTGCATAAGGGATAACAAGTTCTACTTAGGAGCCTAGACTTCCTACTGGTGAATCGTTTTGCGGCCCCACCCAGGCTTTGGCTCCCTGGTCCTCAGCATCTCCCAGGGGCCTTTCTGAGAACACAGCACCAGGCTATAGTGTGGCTTGGAGATGCCATGCTTGCCCAGCATGCACAGGGCCCTAAATTTGACCCCAGCACCACAAACAAGAAGAAATGCAGGGGTCCCAATCTGCATAGCTCAGTGGGGAGAGCGCTTTCCTAGCACAAAGGAAGCCCTGGGTTCTGTCCCCAGCACCATATAATCTGGGTGTGGTGGTGCACACCTGTGTAATCCCAGCGCTTGGTAAGTGGAGTTCTGGCCATCTTGGACTACATGTGAGGCCGGTCTGGGATGAATGCAATCACATCAGTAGAAGAATAAAAGGGGGGAAGAGGGAGAAGGGAGGGAGGGGAGGAAAAGGTGGACTGCAGCCTCACCCCGACCTCACAGTCAGACCTGCCTTCAACAGACCCCTGAAAGCTGTGACCTTTGCAGATCCCAGCCCCAGGTGACTCAGAGAGTGACAGGGGCCCGCAGCCTCAATGCTGTACCGAGTTCTCAGGACTGAGTCCTGCTGGGGTGAGGAGCAACTGTACCAGGAGCTCATTTTCCATCCTGACGGCCTGATTGCTAAGCCAGGGGCTCCTGGGCTGAATTAAAATGTTGATTAATATTCAGCCGGAGCCGCCTCTGATTATAACAGCAGGCGGATGGAAATGTCACTCTCCACGTGCATCCCCCACTTCCTCACCACGCGCTTCCACGGGGAAGCTGCTCATCCAGCCCGTGATCAGCAAGTATTTATCAAGTGTCTGCTATGTGCCAGGCAGAGCCCAGGGGCTCTGGCTTGTGGGGCTCATGTTCTAGGGTGTCAGTCTTCTGCATGTAAGGAGCTATGGGGAGAAAGCAGGGAGGGGAGAAGGCAGGCGACCTGCACACCAGGGTCTCAGACGGGCTGCTTCAGCTGCTGTACACACACACACACACACACACACACACGCACACACACACGCACACGCACACGCACGCACGCGCACGCACGCACACACACACACACACACACACACACACCACTTCTGTGCAGATGCCCGGCCCCACACATAGTAGTTGACCCTGCCACCCTCCTCCTCGTACCCTCAGGGAGCCACTAATCTGGCTGCATTTTACAGATGGGGAAACAGAGGTACCAAGGCATTGGGGCTTGTCACAGAGTTGTACAGTCAGCAAGTGACCCAGCCCCAAGATTGACCCAGGCCTCCTGATTTCTGGCCTCTCCTCGAGATTTGTCTTAGCCTGTCCCTGTGCCCCAGGACCACCTCCACTTTCTGGGGACTGGGGGGCAGGATTTCCCAGTGGAGCTGGCCAGGAACACTTGCTGATGCTGTCCCTGTCCCCTTTTCTAGGAGTGGGTCACCAGCACCGAGCTCCTGATCTCTCTGGATCGGCTTAACACATTCGGGGATGACATCTTCAAGGACCCCAGGGTGCTCCAGTCTTACTACTACGCTGTGTCTGACTTCTCTGTGGGCGGCAGGTAGGCTGCAAGCAGGGCACAGAACCAGGGGGAGGCTGAGGGAGCAGGCCCCATACTTCAGGTCCAGAGCCACAGAGCCGGTGAGGTACCTGGGGTGATCCAGATGAGAAGGAGTGAACAGGACCCATCACCAGGATATGAGGACAGACAAGAAGTTCCTACCCCAGGCCTGTGGTGTAGTGGACATGAATTCAGTAGCTCTCAATAAACACACGAGTGTACCCCAGAATAAAAGCCCAGGCTGGCCTCAGAGTCTGCTCTGCAGGGTAGTCCAGGCAGAAGCCTCCATGACTGGGAAAGCTGAGCTTGAGAGAGGAGAAGGCTCTGAGGCTGGAGTGAGGGCAGGCCCATGGGCAGAGATAATTCCCACCCCGCTGTCTCTGGGGAGCCATCGAAGGCCTCGGACTGTCAAACACTCCAACCCAGTCATTAGCTGATTTCCCCACCTCTGTGACAACACACTTGGTAAGGCAACTCCAGGAAGGGAGGATTTATTTGGGCCCACCAAAGTGCAGTTCGGGGGTCCAGTCTGCCATGACGGGACGGCGCAACAGCAGGAAGTGAAGCAGAGCGAGATGAAGGCTGGCTCAGCTGGTGTTCTTCTTTTACCCACTCTGGCCCCCAGCCCAGGAATGGTGCTGCCCACATTCAGGCCGGATCAGTTAACCCTCATCTAGAAACTCCCCCGGGGGCCCGTCTGGAAGGTGATTCTAGGTCCTGTCAAGTTGACAGTATGAGCCGCCACACCTTGGTATAGTAGTATGGGAAAGGGTGCAGAGAGGAAGGAGGCAGGGAGCTGGGACCAGCATGCCGGGCGTGAGCCTGGGCTGACAGTTTACTAAGATGATGTGAGTCTGTGGATGTGGACAACGGTGACGACGGCCCCAGACGCTGGGCTCCCACGACTCAGGGCAATGTTGAAGCTGGGGAAGGCAGGGAAGAGCCCAGGCCCAATAGCTGGCACTTTGAGATGTCTGCTCCATGGAATACTAGGTGTGAAGGGACCTGAGAAGACACTGGCGAGGAACTCCAGATGACCCCCCTGACTTGCAAGTCGGGTCAAACCTCTCAACAGGACTCCAAAGATGGTCATGGCCGCCGTCTGCTGTGCCTGTTGCCAGGGGCTGCAGGCCAGAGCACATCTGGGTCCCAGCTGTGGGACCCAGACCACCCTCGGCTCTACAGCTGGCTGTGAAGGCTGACTTCAGGAAGGAACAGCACCTTCCCTTGGGTCAGAGGGATTCATGGGGGAGTGGGGAGCTTGCAGCACCCTCTCAGGGATGGAGAAGTCACTTCCAAGTTCCCACGACCCCCATCTTCTGAGACTGACAGGTGCTGGACTCAACCCTCCCAGCAGCAGTGGGGTGTTGCTGCCCGTGAGCAAACAGTACCATACCCCCGTGTCCCCAAATCAGAGATGGCGCCGGGGGCCCTGGAAGTGGCCAGTCATCCATCACTGCCCTCTGAGGACAGAGGGGGAGTGGGACTTGACTTTGGGGAGCCAGGATGGTAGCTCTGCCCTTAGTGTCTGCCATTGTTGTGTCCTGAGCCTGCTCCGTCATCTGGAGCTGAGGTAGAGAGTCCTTCCCACCTCCAAAGACGCGAGCAAAGTCTGGAGCTATTTGCTTTGTCTGGGACCATCTCAAAGCAAGGCAGGAGCAGGAGGCCAGGGTGGGCTCTGAGCCACACAAGGTCAGCCTCCACTCAGCACTCCACATTGCCCACCCCGCAAAGCACTTCTTGGTTCTTACGGAGTTCACCCATCTCTTGACCTTGTGGGTGTCATGGGATCATAGGCCCAAGGCTGTCTACCAAGGCTCAGACTCTGAGGACTTCTTGGGAACTGACTCCTGCACAGGATGCTTCTTTCTTTCCCTTTTAGACACAATTGCAGAATTACCTGAGATAACCTTAGTCCACTTAGAACTGACCCTGTGACCTGTTGTCCGCCCCCACCAGGAAACTGAATTGGCTTCTCCCTGGGTCCCAAGACCCCTGAGTTGGGACTCCGCCCAGAGAGAGACTTCTGTGGCAGCCACTTACTATCTGGAAGCCACAGATGGATGGCATTCCAGGCCTCAGTTTCTCAGTCTGCTGTAGCTAGAGTTTTCCTGCCTGGCCCACAGTCAGGACAAATCTCTCTCACCTGCCAGTTCCACAGCCGCTCAGACCCAACCAAGTAAACACAGAGATTTATATTGGTTACAAACTGTATGGCCATGGCAGGCTTCTTGCTAACTGTTCTTACAGCTTAAATTAATCCATTTCCATTAATCTATACCTTGCCACATGGCTCATGGCTTACCGGCATCTTCACATGCTGTTTGTCATGGTGGCGACTGGCAGTGTCTCTCTGACTCAGCCTTCCACTTCCCAGCTTTATTCTCCTCCTTGTCCTGCCTACACTTCCTGCCTGGCCACTGGCCAATCAGTGATTTATTTATTGACCAATCAGCAACACACTTGACATACAGACCATCCCACAGCAGTCTGCTCAAAGGGGATAACAGGAGGCTGGTGTATATTGTCAACACAACACAGGCTAGAGGGAACCTCAACTGAGAAAGTCTACCAGACTGTCCTGTAGGCAAGTCTCTGAGACATTTTCTTGATTAATGATTGATGTGGGAGGATCCAGTTCACTGTGGGGTGGTGCCACCTCTGGGCAGGTGGTCCTGGGTTGTATAAGAAGGCAGGCTGAGCCAGCCATGGGGAGCAAGTCTGTTAGCGGCACCCTTCATGGCCTCTGCTTCAGTTCCTGCCTCTAGGTTCCTGCGCTGACTTCCCTTCATAATAGTCTGTAACGGTAGTGTGTAAGATGAAGTAAACCGTCTTCTCCCCAGGTTGCTTTGGGTCGTGGGGTTTATCACACAGTAGGAAGCTAACTGGGACAGCAGGGTTCGCTCCGTCGAGCATTTGGGAACCCAGTGCTCTCTTTATCACAACCCTGGTATGTAGTCAGGGCTCAGGGATGCCCACACTTGCGCTGCAATCAAGGGGTGCCTCACAGCGAACCCCTCCCTTCTCCCAATGTCGGTGGCAACCGTCTCCAGCCCTCCTCCCGCCCTCCTCCGGTTGCCTCCCTCAGGTGCAAATGCCATGGTCACGCCAGTGAGTGCGGCCCCGACGAGGCCGGCCAGCTGGTTTGCCGCTGCCAGCACAACACCACGGGTGCGGACTGCGAGCGTTGTCTGCCCTTCTTCCAGGACCGTCCGTGGGCCCGTGGCACCGCAGAAGACGCCAATGAGTGTCTACGTGAGTGTCCCTCGGGCAGCAGGCTAGTGACGCTGGCTAGGAGACAATCCCCGAAACCTCACAGTGGGACTGCTCCTGGGTGGGCCTGGCGTGCAGGGTGCAGTCCGCAGCTAGGAAGGAGAGATGAAGGCATGCTGAGGAGAGCTCTCGAGCATCAATCGCCCCTCACAAGTCATTCCTCCAGGACAAGTCCACCCGGAGAGGCGCCTGTGGTAGGAGAGTAGGAAGGTCCCCAAACTAGACTTAACCCTTTGTTTTAACTGTTCCAACCCTGGCAGCTAATGAAATCCAGTCCCCCTACCCCCACCCACAGGGCTCTGACCCGCCCACCCCAGCCTTTCCCACAGTCCCCCACAGTCCCCCACAGTCCCCAGAAGGCCTTTGATGTTCCAGCTGTGTGTGTGGTGTGGCTCGGCCTGCCTAACCTCAAAGAGGCACTGGTGAAGGGAGGAAGGGCCCTGGAAGGCTACAGGGACAGTGGGGAGGGAGGAGCCTTCCCAGCGGTGTACCAGCCACCCCAGCATCCCGCTTTCCCTGTCTCCCTTCACAATCACCTAGTCTGCTTCATGTCACGTGTGCAGAGCCTGCAGCCTGAGGCAGAAGTCCACATACGGCCTCCTAGCTGGCCTCCTGGGCCTGGGCCACGGTCTGCCAGGGGACCATGGGGAGGAGTCAGATTGTTCCTTGGGCCAGACAGCTTTTTCCTGTCTGCAATAGCTGCCCCAGGGGGGACACAGTCCTAATAAGTTCCTCTTGGCTTCGGGCCTGCCTCCCCCAGGGAAGCTGTGCTGCTCCGTGCTTGGGCCAAGTCTGAGCCTGTCTCTACATGGTGGGGGTGCCGAAGACCAGACTGCCCGCCCGCCCACCTGCCGTGGTCAAATTTCTGTCCTCGGTCACCAGCCTGAAAGATGTAGTTTCACGCCTGACCCTTCACCTCCGACTCCTAGCCCAGGCAACCTCTGAGCCTCAAATTCTTTGCCTTACCCTCTCGTCTCTGTGAACCCTGCCCCTCCTCTGGCTGCCCCGCCCCTCTCCTCTGGCTCTAGCTGCCAACCTCCTCCACCTGCAGTGAAGGCTCTTCAAAGCGTGCAAATACCCTTATGCCCCTCACCTAGTTACACCCCTGCCCCCTCCCTGGAGCTCTGGGCTCCCAGACTCCTGGCACCTCTGTTTCCCAGCCACCTTGGCACCACACACCACTCACCTTGCGGTACCCACCATCCCCTGCCCGTTGCATGGCGAGTTGCCCGCAGCCAACCTCTCGGCACACACACACCAAGCAGACACTGCTCCTCTGGTCCAGATGTTCTGCTCCTGGATGGGATGTACTTCCTGCACCATCCCAACACCTTTCCGACTCCCTCCAGGAAAACATCGTTTTGGAGTAATTATTATGGAGCCCACCTAGTCTTTATGGAGCATTCTGTTTGGGGACATTCAATGACCGGGTTCTGTGTACTTGGTCACACTAAGCCTGAAAACCATCCTGGACTCTGGCGCTTTGTGTCAGTCACTTCCTGTTGCTATGATAAAATGCCCAACAAAATAGTATAAGGAAGGGAAGGTTTGTGTGGCTCACAGCCTGAAGTTACAGTCACCTCCTGACGGGGAACTCATGGTGGAGAGAGTGTGAGGCAGCTGGTCCCATGGCATCTGCAGCCAGGAAGCAGAGGGTGGCTAATGTTGGTGATCAGCTTGCTTCCAAGCTCCTTCTTCGGTCCAGGTCCCCAGCCCAGAGGATAGTGCGTCTATATTTGAGGTGGGTCTTACCACCTCAGCCTAATGTAGAAACCACTGAGAGGTTTGTGTCCTTGGTGGGTCTCGATCCCGTGAGGTTGACAAGATTAACCAAGTACACTCATCTGTGAGAAGCCTGCTCCAGAGGACAGAGCCCCCTCCCCGAGCAGAGCCGGTCACTCACACTTACAAACCTCCATCCCTCACAGCCTGCAACTGTAGTGGGCACTCTGAGGAGTGCACGTTTGACAGGGAGCTTTTTCGGAGCACGGGTCACGGTGGGCACTGTCGTCACTGCCGTGACCACACAGCCGGGCCACACTGTGAGCACTGTGAGAGGAACTATTACAGATGGGCCCCGAGGACACCATGCCAACCCTGTGACTGCCACCCAGCAGGTGAGTGGCCCCAGCTTCACCCTTCCCCAGCTCCTGTCCTCAGCTCCTTCTGCCTCCACTGCCCTATATCCCTCCTCCCCAGGCTCCCTGAGTCTCCAGTGTGATGACTCGGGCACCTGCACCTGCAAGCCCACGGTGACAGGTTGGAAGTGTGACCGTTGTCGGCCTGGGTTCCACTCCCTCAGCGAGGGCGGCTGCAGGTGAGGATGTGGGGACAAGTGGTCTGTGTTGACCATACTGTGTGTTTGTGCTAAATCAGACATGGAAGGTACAGAGCCCCGGCTGTCCTCACCTCTATGTCCTCGCCTTACATTTTCTCAATCTGTAACCACCGGGCCCCAGCCTTATGAGACATAGAGCTGGGGACATGGGAAGAACGAGCCTGCCCGGTGGGGGTGGGATTGGGGTGGGGGTGGGGGTGGAGTGGGGGAGACCTGGGAGGCTCACTTGCTGTGAGAGGGACAGAGTCCCAGGTTGAACCTGAGTCTGATGAGTGAGGGACACAGAGACTCTCCAAGTAGGAAGTACAGCCAAAGCCGAGGCAAGGGTCAGGTGAGGCTCAGGTCTGGAAGAAGAGGACCTGGTGCAGAGGGGGCCTCGGGGAGCTGAGGGCTGCTGTGAGCAGGGAGGCCAAGGCAGGTGGCTGCATCAGAGGCCGCTGGAGGCTTCGGCAGGAGTAGGGCTGGCCCTGAAGAGGGAGGAAGGAGACAGCGGATTCCAGAGCCCAAGTCTGTGGTGACAGAAGACTGAGGAGGAGGAAGGGATGGAGGCTGGTCCTCGTGGCAGAGGGCCAGGTGGAGACTGGGCAGGGAGCCAGGTATTATATACATGTTTGGAGTGCGTGGTACCTCGCCATGAGGAGAGAGACTAGTTGAAGCCCAGCAATCTGCCACACGCTGGGTCTTAGAAGAGGGGCCAGACACATTTAATACTGGTAGTTTACGGTGGAATTCACAGTGGCCAATACTGCAAATTCATAATCACTTTGGGGGTGTGGTCTTACAGATCGTAGACTGTCCTCAAAATCGCTACAGCCAGGAATGACCTCCTGCCGGAGTTAGAACTGTACACCACCGTGGCCAGTTCTGTGTGGTGCTGGGGTGTGAACCCGGGGCTTCATGCATGATAGACAAGTACTCTGCTGTCCCCAAGCAGCACTTTTAAATAGACTTGTCAAGGCTCAGCTGGTAAAGTGCTCACCGGGCGCAAACGTGAGGATGTGAGTTCAGATCCCCTGCCCGCATGTGAAACCCACAAAAGCCGGGTGCACCATCTGTAAGCCGGTGCTGGAGGCTGGGGGCAGGCAAGGACAAGTGGGTCGCAGGAGGTTGCTGGCCAACCAGTCTTGCCAAATTGGTGAGCTCCAGGTTCAGTGAGAGACCCTGTCTCAAAAAATAAGGTGGAATGCAAGAAACCTAATTTCAACCTATGACCTCCCTACGTACATGCACACACTCCGGTGCACACATGTACACACACAGGAAAGAAAAAATAAAATGAATTAACTTAGTTCTAGTGAATAACAGTGTCCCCATGCATTTGAAAGGCAGGAGAAGCTTGTTGGGTGACATGGTGGTGCAGAAATGCCCACTAAAGTCAGGGCCAGGACTCAGTGGTGGAGTAAGTGCCTGCCAAGTACGTGGAGGGCTCTGGATTCTATCCCCAGCACAACAAAGACACACAAAAAATGCTGGACCTGACCCTGGCCGCCTCCCAGGTCTTGGGCTTGGGACCTTTGCACCCGCTGTTGCCCCTCCCCCGGAACATGTTCCTTTTCCCAGCACTGCCTCCTCAGCCCGTGTCACACATACTACCCATGCTTTGATCCCCAGCTGAGGCATTGCCCTCTCGAGAAGCCCCCTGCTCTCCCCACCCCCGCTCCCTCCCAGTCTCCAAGGCTGGGCCAGAGCCACCTCCCTGGGGCTGCCTCATCACTGTCCATCTCCTTCATGATCCTGGGATCCCTGTCTTACCAGATGATGTGCGGGTGGATGGATGAGTGAGTGGATGGGTGCATGGAAGGATAAGTGGATGGGTGGATGAATGGAGGTGAGTAGACGGTGGACAGAAGGATGGCTGGATGGATGAAGGTGGGTGGATAGATGCATGAGAGAATAGGTGGGTGGGAAGCTAAGGGATAGAAGGATGAATAAACAGACTGACGGATGGATGGATGGATGGATGGTTGCACTAATGGAGGGGCAATCAGGGGGATGCTATTCAAGAGCATGGGTGATGGATGGGTGGGTGGATGGATGGATGGATGGACGGATGGATGCACCAGTGGGGGGTGGGTAATGGGCAGGGGCATCATTGCATGGGTAGGTGAGGTACTTCCTGGTAAAGTGGGAACGGTGCCACCAAGCCCAGTCTCTTGGGTAGTCCTATTCCTGACTTCTCGGGAGCAGGGAAGGGCATGAAGAGTTCTGAGGATGGGACAGTCCACTATGGAGTGCTCAATGGACGTTTTCTCTGTTTCTTCGGCAGACCCTGTGCCTGCAATGATGCTGGCAGCTTGGGCACCTGTGACCCCCACAGTGGGAATTGTCCCTGCAAAAAGAATGTTGAAGGCAGCCTATGTGACAGGTGGGTGTGCTCATCTACAAAGTGGCCTTGGGGGTCTCTGGTGAGGCACCCACGCTGTGTAGTAAGGGGAACGGCAGGGCAGGGTCCTCGGAGACCTGGGCAAGCCTGTCACCCTATGTTCTTTCTGAAACCCCAGGGACCTGCTACCCAGGAAGATAGCCAAGGCCCCATGGGCACTTCTTATATTCTGATCCAACAACACTGAGGGTTTGTTAGCTAAGGAAATGCATTATTGCTTCAAGATTAGAATCCTGGAAAGAAAACTCTGAACAGATAGGAAGAGCGTGCCTAATCCAGGCAGCAAATACCTGGTTATCACATTTCTGCTCTTCTGCCTCACACCCATGGTAGATGTCACTGGTGGAGAACTGTCTCAGCCCTCCCATCTCACAGCAGTGGCAGACATCACTAATAGAAAGCTGTCACACCAGTGGCAGACATCACTAATGGAACGCTGTCACAGCCCTCCCATCTCACACCATTATCAGACATCACTAGTGGAAAGCTGTCACAATCCTCCCATTTCACACCAGTGGCAGACATTATTAATGGAACACAACAATCTTAACCTCAGATCCTTCTCAATGCCTTGCTCCAAGGAGCCCCTACCAACTGATCTAAGACAAGAATTATCCCTGTCCTGTGCGAAAGGGATACAGGAGTCAGTCCACAGGAAACCTCAAAGCTGGAACTATTTGAAAAACAAATTAATGAAGACGTGATTACATTATAACCCTAAGAGTGGGGCAGAGATCTGTAAAGCCAGTACATGATTGGATAAATAAACAGATGACAGTGGGGCAAATCTTCTTTCAGAATTCCAAATGCTGGAGAAGGGTGGGGTGGGGAACCAGGCTAGAAGCGGCCGGCAGCAGCCACTGCCGACAGCAGCAATAAACCATAGGCTCAAGAACCATAGGCTCCGGAGTCGGCTCTGGAAATAGTTACTAATAACAACGGCTCTGGAAATAGTTACTAATAACAATGGCAGCCTTCAAGTGTGTTGCAAGCAAGTTCTTCGATACTTTTCCTCTCCTGGGAGGTTGTTAGTTGTTTTGTGTTTTGTTTTTGAGACAGGTTCCCACTGTGCAGCCCAGGCTGGCCCCACACTATTAGAGATCTGCCTGCCTCTGCCTCCTGAGTGCTGGGGTTCATTCTGTGCTACTCTTGGCCCCTCCTTTTTTCTTTTCTTTTCTTTTTTTTCTTTCTTTTTTCTTTTTGTTTTTTTGTTTTTTTGTTTTTTTTTTTTTTTTGAGACTGTGTGTCAGGAGGCCAGGCTAACCTTTGACTTGCTATGTAGCTGAAAATGACCAGGAGGACCTGGTCCTCCCTGCCTTCACCTCCTGAGTGCTGGGGTTACTGGTATCCACCACCACCCGGGGCCAGTGCCCCACTTCTAATGAGTAAATTGCAGTAACTGTTTAGACAAACCTTGTGGGCGGCACAGTAGCCAGGAGATGATGTCACTTAGGAGACTGAGACAGGAGGATTGTGAAGAGCACAAGGCCAGGCCAGGGTATAAGACCCTATTTCAGGGCTGGAGAGATGGCTTAGAGGTTAAGAGCACTGGCTGCTCTTCCAGAGGTCCTGAGTTCAATTCCCAGCAACCACATGGTGGCTCACAGCCATCTGCAATGAGATCTGGTACCCTCTTCTGGCCTGCAGTCATACATGCTGTATACATAATAAATAAATAAATCTCTTTTTTAAAAAAGACCCTATTTCAAAAAACGAGGGGGCTGGAAGGATGGCTCAGCAGTTTCAAGCACTTGCTTCTTTTCCAGAGGACCCACATGGTGACTCACAACCATCTGAAACTCCACTTCCGGAGGATTTAACACCTTCTTCTGGACTCCCCAGGCACCAGATATGCACATAGTACCCAGATATGCATGCAATCAAAACACTCATACATATAAAACATTTTTAAATTAAAATTTCCTTTAAGAACAAACAAACTGCCGGGCGGTGGTGGCACACGCCTTTAATCCCAGCACTTGGGAGGCAGAGGCAGGCGGATCTCTGTGAGTTCGAGGCCAGCCTGGTCTACAGAGCAAGATCCAGGAAAGGCACCAAAACTACACAGAGAAACCCTGTCTCGAAAAACCAAAATAATAATAATAATATAAATAAATAAGTAAATAAATAAATAAATAAATAAATAAATAAATAAATAAACAAAAGAACAAACAAACAATAATGAAACCCAAAGCCTGTTGTGGTAGTGTGCACCTTTAGTGTCAGCACTCAGGAGGCAGAGGCAGGAAGATCTCTGTGAGTTCAAGGCCAGTCTAGTCCACATAGCGGCTTTCAGGCCAAGCAGGACTACATAGTGAGACCCTGTCTCAAACAAACACACAAGCAGGCAAACACCCCACGGAAACGAAAGTGTCACAGGAGTGGAGGACATGTTTACAGCCAGAGGCACCAAGGCTAAACGCTGTGTCAGATCCTGAGCAGGGAAACATGGTAGCCAGGAGAGGAGAAACCCTGCCGCAGCCTGGAGTGCGTTAACGTCAGGCGAGGCTGATCTTTTTTTCCAAGGCTGTATATCAGCAGCAGAGACTGAACCAGCAGGCACAGGACTGTCTGTCCTGCCTTTCTAATTCCTGTGATTCTAAAATAATAATAATAATAATAATAATAATAATAATTAATAATAATAATAATACAAATTAAAATGTTTTCTTAAACTTCTCCAGGATTCTGAACAGTCTAGCCGGGTGGACCCCAGTCCTGTCCCGTCCTGGCTCAGACATGTGACCCCGCCTGACTCTCTTACAGATGCCGCCCCGGGACATTTAACCTGCAGCCCCACAACCCTGCAGGCTGCAGCAGCTGCTTCTGTTATGGCCACTCCAAGGTGTGTGCCCCCGCTGCCGGATTCCAGGCACACCCCATCCTCTCAGACTTCCGCCATGGTGAGCAGTGCACAGAAGCTGCTTCTAGGGCATGGTTCTTTGCCCTGGCTAGGGATCTCATTTTGGAAGCTAGGATGGGGACAGCCAGTCCACCAAGGTCCCTTTGGAGAGATGCCCTAGGCCACACAGCCTTGGTGGGCGGGGTGTGGAGGGGAGTCCGCCGGCACCTGCCCGCTACCCCTGGGATCCTTCCCCAGCCTCCACTCTTCCTGCCTCCAGCACTTAATCCTCAGGGTGGTACTGGAAGGCTGGGTATGTCCGCAGGCACCCCGAGTCCTGTGGACAGCCTCCATCCACCCCCAGGAAAGTTAGTCTCTCTTAGCATATCTGAGTGCCAGCTTAGAGTCTGGGCCTCCACACATTAAGCACCTGCTGTATGCCAGGCATGGCTGAACTCCACATTCCAGGGAATTTCAGCATCTGTAGACAGATGTTCTCATCCCACTTTACAGACTAGAGTGGGGCCTGTCTGAGATTGGTTCTGGCAGCCATGACTGTGTCTTTGGACCAAAAGGGGTGGAACTCCAAACTCTGCAATCCATCAGAGCCGGTGTGCGGTGTGCGCAGCCATACATACTCCTTGGAACACTCCCCCACACCTGAGAGTTTATAGTCTGGCCACTGGTCCTTGGGCATCCAGACACAGTGGCAGTTCGCCCTCTGCTGGACACCACACAGAAAGCAGGACAGCACGTGACAGCGCCTGGTCAGAACAGGCTCTGGCCAGGGCTTGTCTTCTGAGTCCTAAGATAACAGGGAGAGGGCTAGCGATGTCGCTCGGTTGGCAGAGTTCTTGCCGAGCATGCACAAAGCTCTGCCAGGATGTGGAATCATTGCCCTTACCTTGGGTCTGGCCTAGTCTTCAGAGAGTGATTTTCCCCCACCGTTCCTCTCTGAGACAGGGTCATGTAACCCAGCCTGACCTCAAACTCCCTCCCACTTCAGAGCCCTCTGGACTTGTCCCTGGAGGCTAGCCTTCAGGCTCTCACAGTTGGGGTGAACAGTCTGTCTTTGATGTGTAGGAGCTGGTGGCTGGCAGGCCAGAAGCATGGGAGCATCAGAGCGTCCTCTGCAGTGGAATCAGAGTGGGATCCTCCTGGGCCTGCAAGGAGGGGAGGGACTCTCAGCACCAGGTAGGTGACAGCCCTACAGATCACAGCACCCAGGTCCCTGCCAGCTGCTAATCAGACAGTGCCATAGAGTGGATGAGTGCTAAAAGACAGGTTAATTCAGCTCAGTTCCTGCACATCCTGCGGTAGCCTTCCTGTCGACAGAGTCCTGAGGTAGCACAAGGCATCTCATCCCCATTCCTATGAAGTCCCCACCCAGATTCAACCATGGGGGCCATTCCACCTCATCCTAGTCGCCTCCCAGAGACCCCTTCCTGACTCTGCAGTCTGACTAAACTTCCACTTCTAATCGAGAGGGATTCAGTTGGAGCACAGGTTTAGGGGCACCCGCCACAACAGGTGCTGACAAGCGGCCATGGATCCGGTGGCTGAGAACACACACATGCATTCTCTCGGTGTTTTGGAAGTCCGAAGCATGGAGTGGGTGTCACAGGGCTGCGTTCCTTCAGGCCACTCCAGAGCAGAGACCACGTCTCCCCTGAAGCACTCACCCCCTCCCCACCCCCAGAGCACAACTGACCTCCCCTCTCTGGAGATCCCCTTTGTCCTTGCTGGATAATCCAATAGCCCTCCCCTATCCCACGGCCAGTGCACTAACACCCCCAACTCCATCTGCAGCCTCAATCCTTTTTGCCTGGCCAAATCCCCCCTGTGCAGACCCATCTCTCAGGGTTTAGGGTTGGGGTCACCTTTGGGTACTATGATTCTTCAATCAAACCACAGCATATGCAAAATCACCAAAATACTCTGTATGTGTGTGTGTGTGTGTGTGTGTGTGTGTGTGTGTGTGTGTGTGTGATGCATGTTTGCACGTGAGTGGGCACAATTGTGTGTATGGGTGCAAACACATGTGAAGGCCGGAAGTTGATGTCAGGAATCATCCTGATTCCTCTTCCACCTTGTTCCTTGAGGCAGAGTGTCTCAATCAATCCCAGAGCTCGCCGATATGACTAGTCTCACGCCAGTCAGCTTTGCTCTAGAGATCCTCCCATCTCCACTTTCTGAGGCTGGGATTACAGTGGGCCGCCGTGCTCATGCGGCATTTACGTGGGTCTGGGAATCCGCACTCTGGTCCTCTCACTTTTGTGTCAAGCCATCTCCGGAGCCCTGGCCTTGCATTTTCCACCCACCGCAGGCACACATTGTTTGGATGGCTGCTTGTTGCCGTCGACACAGAGGCTAGGATCAAGTTAAGCCTGTGGCTCTATCAAAGCCTTTCCTCTTACCTTCAGAGAAGTTCCTGGGAGACCAGAGGCTCAGCTATGGACAGCCAGTCATACTGACCCTCCAAGTTCCACCCGGGGGCTCCCCACCTGCTGTGCACCTGAGACTGGAGGGGGCAGGCTTGGCTCTGGCTCTGAGGCCCTCCAGTCCACCCAGTCCTCAGGACACCAGGCAGCCAGGACAGGTTCAGCTCTGGTTCCTGTAAGTGGCCTCCGTGTCCTGAGAGATGGGAGTGGGATGGGCAGGCAGGGTGGTCTCTGAGGCCGAGGCACACTGGGAGGCTCCTGAGGAACCCAGGTTCTCGGCTCCATCTGTCCCTACGTCAGGCTGTCCCACTGACTCCCTGTCCCTTCCAGCCTGCAGGAGACCTCTGAGGAGGCAGGGTCCACACTGCCTGCCTTCCACTTCCAGCGGCTGCTCGCCAATCTGACTGCTCTGAGCATCTGGACCAGGGGCCAGAGCCTGGGCCATGCTGGTCAGTATGATGACAATACCCTTATGAACTCGGGTCCTGGCCCTGCGTTACTTGTGGAGTTCTCACGGCACGGACTCTGAGATTGAGAAATCAGGACACTTACACAAGGCAGCAGAAGTGTGTCTGAGGATAGAGGCAGGGGCTGGACTGTGGGGAACTGGGAGTCCTGGGGAAGGACAACTCTAGGAGCAGGTATATGGTCCTTGACAGAATCCAGCACCACCCCATCCCTCCAGAGCGTCTCTTGGTGGGCACTGTACCCCCTGCTGGGCAAGAATGGCATTGCATCTCAGCCACACCATAGGCTGATATGGATACTAAGCTCACCCAACTGCTTTTGAGATAGAGTCTCACTGGTCTTGAACTCTTGATCTTCCTACCTCTGACCCTCCAGTGCTGGGACTGCAGGTGTCTCCCTCTGTAGCCCTGTCTGGTCTGGAACTTGCTATGTAAATCAAGCTGGCTTTGAAACTTAAAGAGGATTAAACTCAGGTACCACCTAGCAAACTTTAAAAACTCAGCGATATTTATTTGCTTGTATATATGTATATTTATGGGCACACACTCATGTGTGTACCACACGTGTGGGGGTCGGAGGACAACTTGTGGGATCCTGAGAATTCGACTTGTGCCCCACCCACCGGGATTAAAATCAAGATCCTGCAAAGCTAAGTGCACATTCTAGCACTGAGCTGCCCCACCGGCCCTTATCTATCTCTTGGTCTGAAAATCATGTTTCCTTTGCTCTTGACTGTTGTTTTTAAAATGATACTTAAAAGCTGGCATAGTAGCTCATGCTTGTAATCCCAGCAGTTAAGAGGATAAGGCAGAGGATAGCAGTCTGAAGACTGCACGGGCTACACAGCGAGGCCGGGTCTCAAAAAACAAACAAAAATAACAGTTGACTGCAGGCTGCCTTTGTAAGCCCGGACCTATCTCACGGGTGCTCAGGAAGTGTTAGGCAGACATGCACGTAGGTGTCCCCTTCTCTCCTCCTTCGGCAGGTCAAGTGTTCCTGTGTGAAGTCCGGCTCATGTCCGCCCGGCCCCAGACAGGGCTTGCCCCACCAGCCTCTTGGGTGGAGACTTGCTTGTGTCCCCAGGGATACGCAGGCCAGTTCTGTGAATTCTGTGCTCAGGGATACAAAAGAGAGCTACCTCGTGGGGGTCCCTACACCAACTGCATCCCCTGCACCTGCAACCAGCATGGTACCTGTGATCCCAACACAGGTGAGTTCCCAGAATCCCATCCCAAGGCTACCTCAGCCATGCAGGCACAGGGAGACTGGCCCTCACAGATGTCTCTTGGGGACCACAGACAGTGACAGCAGGAAGACATTCAGAGGGCCATGCCGGTGACAGTAGCTCATGGTTGTCAACCCACAGCCACAAGTCTACACCCTCACTGCTTCATGGCGGTGGCCTTGGGAAAACCACTCCCTGAACGCCCCATCTGTGCAGTCTGGACAGTGATAGTGTGCACACAGCCCAGGCCGTGGAGACAAGGCCACATGAAGATCAGGGAATTGTCCCGACTTTTCACAAAACAGCCCTCTCTGCACCAAAGCTCAGGGGTAGTTGACCAGGTGAGCTGGGGGGTCTTTTCCTGGGAGAGGCAGATACGAGATGTAATAAACTAGGGCCATCCCCTTCCTCCCTCCATCTTTGGCCCTCTGTCTTTGACTCCTGCAGACATCGGAGTGGTATGTTCTCCATTACTGTCCCATTCTCCAAGACAGGGACCTGAGGTGAGGGGACCTCATGACCAGTAGATGGCAGAGCCATACCTCTTACCAGTCTGGGGTGGGGGTGTCATTCAGTAGAGCTATTTCCCACGCCTGTAGAGGAGCAGAAACCTCACTAGGGTCACGTTACCAGGAGGTGCTAGGGGACAGACACAGGCTTCTCCACCTCTGTACCACAGGCCTTTCACCCTGCTGTCTCTATGGAACAGTTGGGGTCTCTGTCACTCCTGATCCACAGAGCATCATCTCCCCGACCTGCGGCTGAAGACATCACCAGTTGAGCCTAGATGAGGCCTCATAATCCTTTCCCACATAATGCTCCCTGCAGACATCACCAATTGAGCCTAGATGAGGCCTCATAATCCTTTCCCACATAATTGTCCCTGCAGCTCCTATTGAGGGAATAGAATCTTCTCATGAGATGGAACTAATTTTTCACTCCCACGGAGCTGGACTTTGCTACAACTTTCCACTCTATATAAGCAAGGCTTCATTTGTAAATGGGTGGGGCAGCTGGTAGAAGAAGAAAGCCTGAGGGGGTGGTACTGAGGCAGGGGCCCTCCCCTCATCTGCTTTTCCAGGGAATGAAGTTCCCTTCCTTTCTCCTTGCAACCCTGCCTGGATACTGCTGATTGCCTCCTGTAGGGGGTGATCTTGACTTTCTTTCTATCCCTGTGGCGAGCTGTCCCCTCTAAGCATCCCAGGCTCTGAGCAGACACCAGGGGCTGCTGGACTGGAGGAGGGAGTCTGTGATGTCTTCAGGTGCCAGCAGATAGAACAGAGCCGCCATACTGATAGCCTGAGTCCCTGCACAGAGTGAGCCCCCGAAATGCTGGAAGCCTGGGCTGGGGCCTCCCTTAGGTGGGTCCCTCAAGATGAAGGGGACACAGGAGCAGGGAAGGGGGCCAGAGTTACTGTGCCTTCCCTCGGTCTGAGATACTAATAGTGAACCAGTACCCAAGCTTCCTCCCAGGCTCTGGCACTCCATCCTTGACTCCTGCCTTCCCAGCCTCTAAGACAGGGATTTGAGGTGCAAGGTGGCCACATGGCCAATAGGTGGCAGAGCTGCACCTCCTACCCTCCAAGGAGCGGGTTAGATGGTTTTCCCAGCTCACTCAGGCCTTTAGTGACTGGGCACGTCATCCCCAGACCCCGTTGCCTCCACCTCAGGTTCTCACTGGTCTACCAGGATGTGCCCTGTGGGCTCCTTCACCAGAATACTCACTGTCTAAGGTAGTGATTCTCAACCTGTGGGTCACGACCCCTCTGACAAACCTCTATCTCAAAAAATGCATTATGAGGAACTGTATTAAAGAGCTGCAGCATCAGTTAGGTTGAGAGCCACTGGTCTAGGGAGTTCTAGGCTGAGGTGGTGATGAACAGGTGTGTGTCTTGCTCCTTAGGGATCTGCCTGTGTGGCCACCACACCGAGGGGCCATCCTGTGAGCGCTGTATGCCAGGTTTCTACGGCAATGCCTTCTCAGGCCATGCTGGTGACTGCCAGCCCTGTCCATGCCCTGGCCAGTCAGCCTGCACAACCATCCCAGAGAGTGGAGAGGTGGTGTGCACACACTGTCCCCCTGGTCAGAGAGGTGAGTGGCCTCTGCTCTGTTCCACAGAAAGACCAAACCTGATGCCCTGATCCTGCCCTGGCTCTCGAGGAGGAGTCTGGGTTTGGGGATGATGGGTGGGAAAGAGCCGGGCCCTAGGTGTGGCAAGTATGACTTCTGGAGACTGAGTCTCCTTGTCAAGGCCCCAGTATGCTGAGAGTTACTACAGACCTACCTGGGCCTGGTCGCATATAAATGAATCTTGAAAAGCCCATGTATGGGCCCTTAGAACTCGACTCATGGCTTGGGATTCATCCAGGGGACCCAGGATCCTCACTGCAAAGATGGAAAAACCTTGAGGCAAATTTGTCATGTCTCAGAGGAAGGCTCGGTTTGTAGAGAGCTTACTGAATAAGCTGGATGGCCGAGTCTGAGACTCAGAGCCCATGTCGAGGAAGGCAAAGCACAGTAGCAGCACATGTCTACACTCAGCAGTGGGGAGGCAGAGACAGTCCAGCAGAAACGGTGGGGGTCGGGTTAAGTCAGAGACCCTGTCTCCAAAAATAAGGTAGAAATTGACTGAGATGACCCCCAACATTGACCTCTGGCCTTCATGCACATACACGTAGGTATCCACCCCCTCACGCACACACAAGCAGGCACATGTACACACACACACACACACACACACACACACACACACACACAGGCATGTATACACACATACACATACAGAGGCACATATACACACATATGCATGCACACGTGTACACACACACATACACACAGGCACATGTTCACACACACATACATGCAGGCACATGTACACACACACACACACACACACACACACACACACACACACACACACGACTTTTCAGCTTTCAGTCTTTAGGAATGTCTGTGAGGTAACATAAGGAAAACGGAGCCTTCCCACCCCCAGGCTCCATGCTCTTTACCCCTGCTCATGCGGCAGATCTCCTGCTACCCTCAGAGGGGCATTTAACAGCGTTTGAGATGTCTGCATGCATGCCCCACAAAGTCACCCACTTAAAGTGGACAATTAAATGGCTATTAGTATATTACATCATTAATTTTTTATCATAATAAAACCTACATCATAAAACTGTCCTCCTCGGCCATCATTTTAAGTATGTGATTCATTGGCCTGAGGGGCCCTGGCATCGTCGGCCGTTCCCTGCCACCATGCACTGGTGAGCGCCGTGCCCACTGAACTGCTGTTTAATGCCCTCTGTCCCCCACCCCCGCTCCACGGTTTGACTCTGTCTCTGAATTTGACTCTTTGGGATCTTGTCTAAGTGGAAGCCTGTGTTGTCCTGTGCCACTTAGCATCTGGCTTCCTGTGGGATTAGTGCCTGCACTGAACGGTCTTGTGGAGTGTCCTGCTCCCCGGGGCTTCTTCTGAAAGCAGTTTCCTGTCCTCCAGTAGCTCCGGGGTTGGGTGGATGGGCTCTACCAGGGAACACAGGGCCTGATGTGTGGGGGCATCCCACAGTTGGACTCTGTAACCCACTGATGTCACACTTCCCTCCATCTCCTGAGCCCCACTTTGGTTCCCTGCGCCTTCAGATGTGAGCAAAGACTGCCAGAGAGGGCGAACAGTGAGAGACGCTTGGCGCTGGGTGGGACATTCCTGAGGGAGGACATCAGGGAGGCAGTCGCTGCTGCCAGAGGGAACCACCCCGGGAGGGAGGGTCTGGAGCGGCTTACAGATCAGGGACTTCTGCCAGCCTCCTTACCCACATCAGCTCCCGGGGCCTTGGGAGAAAGTACCATGCAGCTTGTCTGGTCATCTGGCTTGAGCCTGACCAAGATCCTGGTGATGCTGAGGAAGACACTGGTGAAGGTGGGAAGGATGAAGGTGGTCACGTGGGCACCTCTACTGCTGGGCACTCAGCATTGAGTGCTCTCACAAACAACCCAGTCGAGGCCAGTGCTTTATTTAGGACATCCCCCGAGCCGTCCTCACTACAGAGGCAAGGAGCACCATGGGTTGAATCAGGGAGGCACCATAGCTTGCTCAGGGCCACGTTACCAGGGGGCAGTGCTCTAGGGCCTGGCTGCAGGCCAGCTTGAGCCACAGGCCCTGCTCAGCTTCCCAGGAGCCAGAGGAACCAAAGCTTTACCACACCCTCGTGAGCCAGAGCGCCAACCCTGCCCCTTCCGCACACAGGACGGCGCTGTGAGAGCTGTGAAGATGGCTTTTTTGGGGACCCTCTAGGACTCTCTGGAGCCCCCCAACCCTGCCGCCGGTGCCAATGCAGCGGGAACGTGGATCCCAATGCTGTCGGCAACTGTGACCCCCAGACCGGCCACTGCTTGCGCTGCCTGTACAACACCACAGGGACCCACTGCGAGCGCTGTCAGGATGGCTTCTACGGGAGCGCCTCGGCCGCCAGGCCTGAGGACAAGTGTGCTCGTGAGTACCCAATTCCCAGACCTGTGGGCTAAGGCATGGGAGCCACTGTCCTCAGCCCCCGTTCAGGACCCAGACAGGATGGCTGAGAGAGCTACCACACCAGCTGGCCCCTCTGCTAGGCTGGGCAGCCTTAGGTAGGTCTCTTGCCTTCTCTGTTCTCTACAAAGCATTAGGATGTGTTCTTCCCCGAGGCCCCTTCAGTCCTGACGTCTCATGAGCTCTGATCCCACAGTTCCACCCTGCATTGATAACTCGGCACTTTTCTCATATTGGCCCTTAGCAAATAAGGCTGACGGAGGGATGGTGAAGCCATGACTCCTCCTCATGTGACACCCTCTGCCTGCCTGGGTTGCACCCCACCTCACGCATGTCAGAGGGCGGCCACAGCCTGCATCTGCCTGAATTGGGCTCCCGGAAGTCCTGCATCAGAGCAATGCAGCTTTCACCCCACGCAAGGTCCTCAGAGCCTTTCTCACGGGGTGCCATCCACACCTGTGTGCAGCCCCCTCCAGGAGACCCCACTCCGGCATCAGGAAGGATGCTATACTATGGTTCCTGGGAGAGCTCCAGATGCGGCTGCCAGGCTCTGACTGTGGCCAGCGACCACATCTCTGGCCCTCTCTCTAGCCTGCAGGCTTGAGGCAGACTTGGGGACAGGCGGGCTACATCCCCACTCTTCTGAGCTGGCTCCCCAAGGACATAGCGAATGGGCTGAGACCTGAGCTTGTCCCTCAGCCTTTTCCAGGAGGGTCTCTGGAACCTGGTCTGTATGACACTCATCTCTGGGGCTCCCTTGACTTCTCGGCTTCTGCCTGTACCCCTAAAGTTTAAGCAAATGGTTCTGACACCTTTTTCTGAAACCCAGCTTGCAGCTGTGACCTGAGGGGCTCAGTCAGTGAGAAGATGCCCTGCAACTCAGTGACCGGCCAGTGTGCCTGCCTACCTCACGTCACCGGGAGAGACTGCAGCCACTGCAGTCCTGGATTCTATGATCTCCAGTCTGGGAGGGGCTGCCAGAGGTAGGGGTGGGCTGTGAATGCACAGGGTGTCTCGCCTGGGGAAGGAGGGCACCATGGAGCCTCAGGGACTGGCCTGGTCTGGAATGTGTCATCCCAGGCCCATTTCCACATCCACTGTGCCCTCTACCAAAGTCACAAATCTCGGCCTCTTGGTATCAGATTCCTGGCTCATCCAGTCCTGGAGGGAGGCCAAGAACAGCCCAGGGGCTGGGCAGGTGGGCAGGCGGCTGGTTTGGTCTGATTCCCATCTCAGTGATACCCATTGCTGTGACTTTTTGACCACAGCAGCACGTGAGACAGTGTCTTGGCCTCAAAGGAAGACTCTGGGTAAAGGCTGAAGGAAGTAAATGATCTTCCTTGGGTGGCTCCTCGGGGCCTTTATAAGTGTGGATTTCACAGTGACTTACCAGATCTGTGCCAATGACTTTTTTTTTTTTCAATGTCCTATGTGGCTTGTGCTCCCCGGTTCATAGGCATCAGAGGCTGGGTTAAGGGGTGGCCTCATCAACCCCCACACTTACTTCTTGTTACAGCTGCAAATGCCACCCGCTCGGCTCCTTGGAAAATAAGTGTCACCCCAAGACTGGGCAGTGCCCCTGCCGACCTGGTGTCACAGGCCAGTTCTGTGACAGATGCCAGCTGGGTTTCTTTGGCTTCTCCATCAAGGGTTGCCGAGGTGAGCAAGCTGGGCCCCGGTGGGCTGTGGGAGGGAGGGCCTGAGGTCTCTTGTTGGAGACAACACACAAGAAGCAGGTGTGGTGGGGGAGATGATAGGCAGATGCTGGCTGGTTGCCTAAGCCTGGCCTTAAGAATGTGGAGCACACGCGTGTGAGGAACTCGGTGTCCTAATGACACCTCTAATGTGACCACTGAACTTTTGCATGTCTTCAGACATCATGTACGTGTGAGCCACAGTCCTTACGGTACAGCTAGTACTGGCAGTTCTGAGGCCCTGGGGACATCGCAATAAGACAGGCTCAAGGCTTGGTTGCCAGCTCTAACCTTCTCGTCGGCCCCTGGCATGGAGCCCTGGACATTGGAGGACACTCGGGGGTTGTGGGATTTCCAGGTGGGGTATGAAGATGCGGGGGGTGGGGGTAGGAGATGAGTCTGAGGTCATCATCGGGTCCCCAGAGTTGGCTGCTAACCTCAGACTGCAGGTGCTCTCCACTGGGTGCTGCCTCGCCTCAGTGCCACGAGAACAGCACGTGTGTGTGCAGGCCCGGCTTCGTGGGCTACAAGTGTGACCACTGCCAGGACAATTTCTTCCTCGGGGATGGTGACACAGGGTGCCAGGAGTGTCCCACCTGCTATGCCCTGGTGAGGGAGGAGGTAAGTCGCTATGCTTAGACACCCCCACCTTCAGGTTCGTCTCACACCTCCAGGGAACAGGGAACACCAGCTCCATGCTGTGGACCGAAGCTGCATGGTCATTCACAGACCTCGAACCATATGTTCCCACTGGCCACCTCTCCTGAGTTCACCCAGCCTCCTCACTCCAGTCTCCCTGATCCTCCTGTCCTGGATGAGCCAGAGGTGGCTGCCGTCACATCCCTTCCTAGCCTCCCAGGGCCAAGGTCTCGTACCTGTATAGCTCGGAGGGGATGTGATGACGGGCCACCCTTGGAGCAACACAGACAGCATTTCAAACAGGGAGGTGGGTGACACTGAGGTCAGGAGTCGGAGCTGAGAGACCCCAGGCAGAGGGCATCCTCGTAGGCTTCAATGTCCTACTCCAGAATAGCTAGTTCCAACCTTCCAGCCTCTGGGCCCAGTGGGGCTCTGAGAACATATGGTACTGTAGGAGAAAGTGGCATGTCCTGAGCTCTGGCTACAAGCTCATGGGGTAAGCAGGCCAGGCCCGTAAGCAAGGCCATTTCCAGTTCTGCAGGACAGCATGCATTTTGTACCACCGGGTAAATCAAGCTGCCACATGACCTCCCACTGCCTGGAACAGTTTTTTCTTCCAGATGAGTTCACAGTCCATTTGTCATTGAGAAAGGCACAGAAAGTCTAGAGTCTGTCGGAGCACTGGGGGCTTTGGATCTGAGGACAGAGCTTGGGAGGTGGCCCTCTGCTTAGCGTGGTTGAAAGTGAACTGAGTCATAGCAGGCACTCAAGTTGTGGCTGGCTCCTGATACACACAACCATAAATGCAGCCACTGTGCATGTCGGTAAAAGCATGGGGCTCAACGCTGCTGCACGCACTGGCAGCAGGTGCCCACAGCACCTGCATCGTGTCAAGGCCTGGAAACACAGTGAACAGGATAGACAGAAGTGTGCCTGGGGGCTGGGAAAACGCATGCCATGCAAGCATGAGGACTGAGTCTGATCCTCAGAAACCATGTAAAAGTGTGAGGAAGTCAGAGGCAACCAGATCCCCTTGGCTTGCTGGCCAGTCAGATGAGCCTACTTGATGAGCTCCAGGCCAGCGAAGGATTCTATTAAAAAAGATGCCAGGTGGTGGTACGCACACCTTTAATGCCACTACTTCTGTGAGTTCGAGGCCAGCCTGGTCTATAGAGCAAGTTCCAGAGCAGCCAAGGCTACACAGAGAAACCCTGTCTCAAAAAAGTAAACAAACAAAAACCTAGGCACAGCACATCTTTAATCCCAGCACTCAGGAGGCAGAGGCAGACAGATCTCTGAGTTCAAGGCCAGCCTGGTCTACAAAGCAAGTTCCAGGAAAGCTGTTATACAGAGCAACTCTGTCTCGGAAAACCAAACCAAACAAAACGCAGAAAAAGAAACAACAAAAAATAGCAAAGAATCTAAACAGGAACAGCTGCTAAGGTTGACCTCTAACCTCCAACACATGCACCTCCCCACATAAGCATGTACGCATATGTACACACATAAGCACATAATGCACATGCACTTACACACACCAGTCTTCATGGGGCTCCTTTTCTCTCCCTCTCTCCCTTCCTCAGTAGGGCAGGGGTGTGGCTGGTGAGGTGTCAGCAGGTGCAAGGCTGTGAGGAGGGAAGAAGTTGGTGAAGTAGAGTAGGCGAGACAGGTCCTCGGGGTTGGCAAGCCCTTAGCACGTGTAGGATTGGAAGGGGAGAACCCGTGGGAAAGGTGGACCAGGCAGAAGCCAAGGGCAGTTCCCAGCACCCAGAGATCCCAGCCTCATACAATTTCCTTCCCAACTGTCCCGTAGGCAGCCAAGCTGAAGGCCAGGCTGATGCTGATGGAAGGGTGGCTGCAGGGGTCCGACTGTGGCAGCCCCTGGGGACCACTGGACATTCTGCAGGGAGAAGGCCCTCGGGGGGATGTGTACCAAGGTCACCACGTACTTCAAGGTACAGGGAATGGCAGAGTGGGAGGTGAGGGGCCTGGCAGAGCCTGGGCTGGTTGGATGCTTTGGGAGCTGTCAGGATAGTCGTGATGCCCACAGGCCTATCCTCCCATGTCCCTAGCCCATCTGTGATGATATTAACATGGGTCTCTGTCCCCTGGCTCCTGCCCTGCACTGACTATAACTCAAGGCACATCCGGTCCGGATTCCTTCGTTTCAACCACACCCTCTGTGCCGCCTGGGGCGCTGTTCCAGGTGCTGAACGTGTGGAGTCCTCTGGGCTTTGACTCTTGGCCAGTTTGCTGGCTGCCATGTCTCCAGCCAGTGTTTGACACGTTGCAAAAACGACTGGTAACTAAGAAAAGCAGACCTGCCATTAAGCCAGGTGGAATGTGGCCTTGGGACACAGGAAACTTCCAGAACGTTGAGACTGGGTTGGTCACTTTGTACAGCTGTGTTTGCAAGTAGCTGTGCTTCGGCAGCTGGCCAAAAGTGAGCCAAGTATCAGTGAGCTGGACGAGCCATCAAATGAGAGCAGTCAGGTGGCCCCATGTGAGCCTCAGTGAGAGTCACAGCACTGAGTTAGGGGTCCACTGCCAGCCCAGATTCTGGAGTTACTCATTGTGGTTCCAGAGGGCCTGCTTCCAAGTCCCTGTACGTGGCTGATTGGTTGCAAGCCCTGATTTGCCTCCTCTGGGCCTCAACCTTTGCAGCTGTCAGATGGGCAAGTTTCTCCATTGGTGTACTGGAGGCAGAGGGCAGAGTGGCACTGGGGTCCAGCTGTGCCCAGGCAGGGGGAGGTCTCAGGTGGAGGCCTGGGTGAGGGGACTTTCGTGTGAAATCTCCATCAGTGATGATCACCGATTTACTGGTTTCCCACAGAGGCCCGGGAAGCCTTCCTGGAGCAGATAGTGGGCCTGCAAGGTGCCATGAAGGCCACGTGGGAGCAGTTTCAGGTGCTGAGAGGGAGTGCCCGCTGTGCCCAGGCTGGAGCTCAGAAGACCTGCCTCCAGCTGACGGAGCTGGGGGAGGCATTGCGGTCCTCAGAGGAGGAGGTCCTGCGTGCAGCCTCGGCTCTTTCATTTCTGGTACCGTGGTCTCCCCCCAGTCCTGCTTCCCCTGGAGTCTGCGTAGGAGTCTTTGCCCCAGTCCTGCCCTTAGCCAATTGCCCATGATGTGGTGTATGCTTTAAAAGAATGCTTGGTGTCACCTGCAGACTGGGTCACACTGGGTCTCTTCTACTGACAGAGAAAGGCATTATTTGCAAAAAGCAAATGTATTTCGAGTAGACAGTGAATGCGTAATGGCAGCCAGTGCCACTGGGTTTTCATGTGCAGGAATGCTGCTCGGTGACCGGGTGCTGGTGTCATGGTTAGCTTTGTGTATTTATATAATTATTGACACCACTCTATTCTACCCAGTCAGCTAGCCAGCTGTAACCCTTGACCTTCCAGGATGAGCCTCAGTTTCTTCCTCTGTTCTTTAAGGTGAGTCTTCAGGAAGTATCCAGCCCACCCACCAATTGGAGCCATCTGGCATCAGAGGCCCACATCCTTGCCAGGAGGTGAGCCCTGAGGCTCCAGGATGAGGGGACTGTGCCCATATTGTTGGCATGGGGGCCAGGCCTTCTTGGGCAGGTTCCAGAGTCAGGATTAGCCTCTAGGAGATAGGACCAGATGAGCCCAAGAGCCGCTCAGTGCGGAGTAAATGTTACCAGCATGGGAAGGGGTTGGGGTGGAGTGGGGATGGAGGTGCGGGCATGTTGGGAAAAAGCCTGCTCAGTGGAATGCATCTCAACATCTGGTGACTTAAAAAGAGAAAAAACCCACAAGTTTATTAAGATGTAATTCACATGGGCCTGGGGAAATAGCTTAGTCAGTAAAATGCTTATGACAGAGGCATGAGGACCTGAGTTCAATCCCCAGAACCTGTGTGAAAAGAGGGGGTTGGGTGGGGGTGGGGGTGGCACTGGCTTGTCATCTCAGCACTAAGGATGCAGAGACAGGACAATTCTGGGAGCACCTGGCCAGACAGCCCTGCCTAGGTCCCAGGGAGAGACATTGTCTCCCCCTACCCCACACCCAGAGACAGGGTTTCTCTGTGTAGCCCTAGCTGTCCTGGGACTCACTCTGTAGACCAGGCTGGCCTTGAACTCAGAGATCCGCCTGCCTCTGCCTCTGCCTCTGGAGTCCTGGGATTAAAGGTGTGCGCCACCACTATCCCAGAGACCCTGTCTTAAGAAACGAGGTGAAGCCCAGTGGTGGTGGCCAGCCTGGTCTACAGAGCAAGTTCCAGGACAGCCAGGGCTATGCAGAGAAAGCCTGTCTCGAAAAAAAAAAACAAAAAAAAAAAAAAAAAAAACTGAGTAAGGTGGAGGGGCTGGGGAGATGGCTCAGCATTTAAGAGCACCAGCTGCTCTTCCAGAGGACCCTGGGATCCATTCTCGGCACTCACATGGTGACTCACAACCATGTAACTCCAGTTACAGGAGGTCTGATGCCCTCTTCTGGCCTCCACGGGCACTGCATGCACATGGTGCACAGACATACATGGAGGCTAAACACTCATATACATAAAATAAAAATAAATAAAATCTTGCCAGGTGTGGTGAAATATGCCTTTACTCCCAGCACTTGAGAGGTAGAGGCAGGCAAATCTCTGAGTTCAAGACCAGTCTGACCTACAAAGCAAGTCCCAGGACAGCCATAAAATAATAATAATAATATCTTAAAACAGGGTGGACAGATCCTGAGGAACCACACCTGAGGTTAACCTCTGGCCTACACATATATGCATGCACATGGGGTGGGGAGATAATTCGTATACTTTGTAGTTCAGCATCTCATTGTATTCTAAGAGTCCCATGATCATAAGATGTAAACTTAGAACATTTTTATCATTCCCCAAATCAACCCTGTATCCAGTTTTCATCGTCCCTCGCTTCTCTACAGCCTCTCCAATCGATCCTGGCAAGAAATAATCTGTGCCGGGCGGTGGTGGCGCACGCCTTTAATCCCAGCACTCGGGAGGCAGAGCCAGGCAGATCTCTGTGAGTTCGAGGCCAGCCTGGGCTACCAAGTGAGTCCCAGAAAAGGCGCAAAGCTACACAGAGAAACCCTGTCTCGAAAAACCAAAAAAAAAAAAAAAAAAAAGAAAAAAGAAAAAAAAGAAATAATCTGCTTCCTGTCTCTGTAGATTTGGTCATTAGGACGTTTCACGTAGATGGAATCACAGAACACAGGGCCCACTGTATTGACTCCTTTTACTTAACATCAAGTCTTCAGGGTTCATTCACGGGATAGCGCAGGTCAGTACTCCATTCCTTCATATGGGTGTATAGCAGTCTAGGGTACAGACATACCACATTCTGCTTATCCAGTCATCCACTAACAAGTACTGGTCATGGGGGTGGCAGTGGTGATGTGTCTGTGTGTGTGTGCAGGTGCACGCGGAGACCAGATGACAGACGCCCAGGGTGTCATTTCTTAAGTGACATTCGCAGTTTCACCAACCATGCCAGCAGGTCCCAGGGCTCCGACTCTCTCCCTTCCTGAGCTGAGATCCATGTCACCGTACCCAGCGTTTTACGTGGGTGTTGGGGATCGAACCCGGGTCCTCGTGCCTGCATGGCAAGCATTGTGCTGACTGAGCTGTCTCCCCAGCTTTGCACTTAGGTTGTTTGTTTCTGCTCCTGTAGAAAACAACTTATGATCCTAAACACATAGAATCCACAGCAATGTTCATCTTTTTAAAGTTTTTAGGTTTATTTATTTTACATGTATGAATATTTTGCCTGCAGGTATGTATGTGTACCACATACTTATCCTCTTTTTTTTTTTTTTCTGAGACAGGGTTTCTCTGTGTAGCCTTGGCTGTCCTGGAACTCACTCTGTAGACCAGGCTGGCCTCAAACTCAGAGATCCACCCGCCTCTGCCTCCTGAGTAATGGGATTAAAGGCATGCACCACCATGCCCAGCACATTTTCCTCCTTTTTTTAAAAAAAGAAAAAAGATTTATTTGGGGGCTGGAGTGATGGCTCAGTGCTTGAGAGCATGTATTGCTCTTCCAGAGGACCTGAGTTCATACCAGATAGCTCATAACCTCCTGTAACTCCAGCTCTAGGGCATCTGACTCCCTCTTCTCCACCTCCGAGGGCTCCTGCACTCACATGCACACAGACACACACACACGCTTATAACTTAAAAACAAATAAATAGCAGATATTAAAAATAAATAATAAATCTACCCATGGGAGCTGGAAGGTGCAGGATCCCGCGGAGCTGGAGACTCAGGCAGATGTGAGCTGACCCACGTGGTTGCTGAGAACTGAACTCTGGGCTGTGTGAGAGCAGAGAGTGCTCTTAGCTGCTGAGCCGTCTCTCTAGCCCAGTGCTCCTCTTCAGCTCAAGGGACCGAATTCACTTTAGAGATGAGGAGACAGGTCCAGAGAATCAGTTGACTCACTCATGGACACACAGCTTGGAAGCGATAGAGCCAGGGTTCAAGCCCAGGCTGGCTTGTCCACTCCCTGCTGTGATGTCCCTAGGAGAGGCCACATGGTGAAAGGCCTTGGTCAGGACCACAGGTGTGACTGCAGTGTGACAGGAGCGGAAACAGAGACTGTCCCTGCTAATGCTGCAGCGGCAGGTGGGAGGCAAGGAGTGTCCTGCAGGAGACCCATGAAGCAGGAGTCTGGGCACCGCCACCTCTGTGTGTGCTCCTAGTGACTGTCACGCCAATTCATGTAGCCACAGGGACACAGCCACCGCGATCGAAGCTGCTGCACGAAGGGCCCTGCTTGTCTCCAACACCAGCCATGAGCGCCTGTGGGATCTGCTGAGAGGGAGGGAGGCCTTGGCAGCCCAGCGGGAACTGGAGGACAGGTAAGGCCTCCACAGGTGTGTGGAAAACCTTGGGCTCAGCTGCCAGGAGCCCACAGGAACCAGCCAGAGGCCACTGCTCCCAGAACCAGCTCTTCTGAGCCTAAGCCCTTCAGGGTGTCTTGGGGCTGCACTCTTGTAGGAGTGAGGCTGTGACAGCGGGGTGGACAGAAACTGAGTCTCAGGGTAGCTGATCTCTGCCCCCGCAACAATCCCTGAGAGCATCCCATCAGGTCATCGGTGCAGGGTGGCATCTTTGCTTTCTTGTCACTGCCACCTGGCAGAAACTTCCTTCCTTGCCTCTGGAGGCCAAGCATCTGGGTATCTCTGCTCAGTCTTGAGCTAGAAAGCATGGCAGGGTTAAGTCATATGGCCCCCCTCCAAGAGCTGACTGCTATGTAGCGGTCGCGCAGCTCGAGAGATCTCCATTTGTCAGTGGAGAGTAACACACAGTATTAATTATCCTTCTCCTTGCCCTGACAAAATACCCAATACGATTTAAAGGAAGACAGGGTTATTCTGCTCACAGTCCGAGGGAGTTCTTCTGCCATGGAGAGGGAGACATTGCTCCTGGGCTTGGAGTTACAGCCTGTACCCCAACAAGCCAGGTTCAGCCACCCATCCTTGATAAGCCAATTAAAAGGCCACATTAATAGTGAAAAGCAGAAAGAGATTTACCAATGTGGCCACACTGGAAAGAAGAACAAAGACATCCAGAGGGGAACTCCTCAGTGCCTCTGTCAGTCATCTTTGGTCCTGAAGAGAGGTCAGTGTTTAAGCAGTCCTGGTCAAGGTGTGGTCCTGTCCATTGGAGGCCCACCATTGTTCCAGCTCTTTTTCCTATGATCTTCTGGGGAAAAAGATCGCACTCTGGCTGGTTAAGGCTGTCTGCTTTCCCCTCTATATGGTTCACACTGTGGGCTTTACCCTCTGGCTGGTTCAGACTGTAGGCTTTCCCCTCTGGATGGTTCAGACTGTACGCTTTCTCCTCTGGATGGTTCAGACTATAGGCTTTCCCCTCTGGATGGTTCAGACTGTAGGCTTTCTCCTCTGGATGGTTCGGGCTGTAGGCTTTCCCCTCGCCTAGCACTGGACTCCTGAGGGAATTCTTATTCCTGGGGTGCGCAGTTTCAGTAATCTGATAACAAAGTGGGGGACATGAGAGGTTCAGAATATCTTCATCTCTGTTGGACCAGTTACAACTTGGCTTCATTCAGGGAAGGCATGGGGGCAGGGACAGGAAGTGGGCTGGTCACGTTGCATCTACAGTCAAGAAGCAGAGAGTGAACAGGAAATGGATCAGGCTATAGAACCTTTCCAAGACCCTCCCTGGAGTGACCTACTTCCTCCAGCAAGGTTCCACCTAATATAGGTTCCTCAAATTTCCCAATGCCACTAATTGGGGACTGTGTTCAAACACAGGAGCTTATGGGGGTCCTTTGGCATCCAAACAGGAACAGATGCCAAAGGTCAGCAGCAAGAGCATAGTCAATCAAGATCACAGCCTAGGCTGCTGTCCTTCCATCCCAGGTAGCTTCCTCTGCAGCTTTCCAAGAAGATCCAAGGGTCTGCAGAACCTTTGGATTCTTGAGTGGTTCTTGGGTGCATAGTAGCCCGGAGCCTGGACAGAGTGGCATGCCCAAACTGGATAAGAGGATAATGAGTCTGCTGGATTGAAAGCTTCAGAGATTGGAGAGATGGCTCAGAGTATTCACTGCTCTAGAAAGCCCAAGTTCAGTTCCAGCACCCACATCAGGTGGCTTACAACTGCCTGTAACTACAGCTCCAGGGGATCTGATACTTCTTGCCTCCGTGGACATCTGCACCCACAGGCAGGCAAACACACACACACACACACACACACACACACACACACACACACACACTCGCACGCACGCACGCACGCACGCACGCGCACACACACCCTGAAAACTGCAGATCAGAGCCATTTTTCCAGGCCACTGGCTGGGTCCTGACCTGCACAGGGTGAGTCTGCCAGGAGGTGGAAGAGGCTTTGCGGGTTAACAGCTCCCGCCAGCAGCTTTAATAGAGATGGTGAAGGGTGTCCTGCACTCTGTGCTGTGGTTCATCCTGACCTCTTTCCTCCCAGGTACCAGGAGGTTCAGGCAGCCCAGAATGCCCTGGGCACAGCTGTGGCAGAGGTGCTGCCCAAAGCTGAGAAGTCACTGGCCACTGTGAAGCAAGTCATTGGTGATGCTGCCCCACGTCTGGTCATGCTGGTCACCCCTGGAGCAATGGTCAGTTCAGCATCCCTGGAGCTCCTCGTGGGGTGGCAGTGAAGGTTCTAGATTATGGAGAAGCCAGAGGGCCAGGCAGAGGTGGGCAGGGCTTCTTGTTAACTGAGAAGTGTCCTATTGAAACAGGCAGGGCTCAGCCAATCTTCCATACCAAGGCTGGAACTGTGACACGAACAATGATATCAGAGGGATGGGGATGATACATGTCCCAGTTCCCACGCCAGCAGTGACCTTGGCCAAGGATTTCCTTCCCTGAGTTTCAGCCACCAGTGACCCTCTGTCTCGTGGACTCAGCCTCCTCTATTTAATTTTAGAGGTGGGAGCTAGAGGGGATCTAGTGAGTCCTTCATTCAACACTCAGCACGTCTCCACATCCTGCCAAGCTTGTCTGTGGGTAATCCTGAGATCTCCAGCCTCAGAAACCTGGCTTTAACAGAGCACTAAGCCGGCTCTTCATGCACCTCACGGGGCGAGTGTGTGCCCAGCATGCTCAAGGTTCTGGGTTCCACACCCAATACCAAGGAAATTAAAACCAGAAAGTCATCCAAATGCGTCTGGGACACAGGCTGCCTGCGGCTACTGCCTCATGGCTTCCCCTGCTCTCCTCACATGCAACAACCTGGATGACCCAGATGGATACCGCCGAGGGCTTGGGATCATACACAGTTCTGCCTTTCTAACATCTGGAACACTGCATTCTGAACCACACTGGTCAAGGTTCAGGTGGAGGATGAACTGTGGGCCTGAGGAGGGAATCTCACCTTGTGAGGAAGAAAGGCAGTCATACACGTGGGTCTTAACAGTTAGCTAGAATTGCCCGGAGCTGCACAGCTCGAAATTGGTGGGGCTGGGGTCTGAGCCCCCGGGACAGGTTCCCCAAGTCCAGCTTCTCTGCAACTCCTCCTTCTTCTGCTCTGCACTGCCCCTGGGGTACCTGAGGTGCCTGGGACAGCAAGCACTCTGGGACCAAGGTTAGAGTGTCAGCTCTAGGCTAGTAGCCACAGGCTGCCCCCCCAGCACAGCAGGGCACAGGCTGGCCCCCCAGCACAACAGAGCACTTTTCCCTGGACAGAGGATCCAGTCCTCAGCCCTTCCTGAACCCACCATCTCCCTGCAGCCTCAGAACTCCCAAGCCAGGCATCTGGACTGGAAAGTGAAGGCCCTGGAGCAGGAGCTGGCTCAGAGGGAGCGCCAGGCAGTCCAGGCTGTAGGAGCCCTGCAGGCGGAGGCTGGGGCAGCCCTGAAGAAGATGGAGCCCTTCACGCAGGTCAACTTTGAGTCTGGGTCCTGGAAGAGGGAGGGACTGCCCTGGGGTAGGGTGAGGTGCAAAGATGGAAAATAGCACCCCCAAGTCTCTGGTGCCTCCCTCAAAACGCCTGAGAGTTTTAAAGGCGGCCAAGCCAAAGGGAGGGAAGTCTGCTTGCTGAGAAGACAGTAAAGGGGTGGAGGGAGACAGGATGGACAGACAGACGGGCAGGCAGGTGGATGACAGAAGCCATATCCATGGACCCTCGCTCAGGGTCAGTCACACTGGATGGCTCTTGTGTCTCTTTCTCCCTTCTGCCCTTAGATACCCCATGGCCAGAGACACCCATTCTGAGCAGTCCATGGGACTCAGTGTTAGGTCATGTAGCCTCGTGTTAAGTCATGTAGCCTCGTGTTCAGCCCAGAGAGATGGCACTAGATCGGCAGTTTAACTTGGACCAGCCGCTAACATATAGAAGACTCATTTATAAACAATTGTGCTGGAGCATTTTTCTTGGGGGATAATTTCAGACTCATGGAAATGGTCTATGCACAGCACCCAAAGCTCTCATCCCCTTCCCACAGGGCCATTTGAGGTTGGTGTTTTAGCTAGCTACAGGACTGGTGTCAGACTCAGGAGGGCAACATGATACCACCCAGGAGCCCACCCTGCTGACCTGACTCAGAACCCCGCAATGGTGGTCAGGGCTCCCTCCCCGCAAGGCACCTAAACTTCCCTACAAACCCAGGAGACAGAAATATCTTTAAGGAGAAAGGAAGTAGCCGAGGATTGGACCCAGGGCCTGGCAGGTACCCAAGCGAGCCCTGCTGCATTGAGGACCCAACATAGTGTCCTCTAACCTGATCCACACTCCCATCTAGGGTGAGGAAGCCAGGAAGGGAGGCAGCCTCCGCAGACCCTTTGGGAGCTGAGTCCTGTGAGGGACAGACTCCCCCCACCCGCAAATGTAGATGCTCCACTCCCCATAACCCTCACAGCACCCCACACCCTTCTGTCACACCCCCTCCCACACCCCAGCCTCAGGAGCAAACTGAGGTTTCCCTGGCTCTTTCAAACCCATGTTGTTTATTTGTAGCAAATCACACAAGAAACCTTTTTTTTCCAGCCTCAAACATTTTATTTTATTTTACTTTATTTTATTTTAAAGATTTATTTATTTATTATGTATACAGCATGTATGACTGCAGGCCAGAAGAGGGCACCAGATCTCATTACAGATGGTTGTGAGCCACCATGTGGTTGCGGGGAATTGAACTCAGGACCTCTGGAAGAGCAGTCAGTGCTCTTAACTGCTGAGCCATCTCTCCAGCCCCCAAATATTTTATTGATTATTGCTGGGTATCCACTTTGGAACTTCCCACGGCAGCAAGTTAAATAAATATTTAGATGGGAAGACACGATGGGACATAAAGCTTGCTTTCAGTGTCCCGCCACCTAGGCTGATGTCCCCTCCCCTTGACACAGCTTTATATTTGAGCTGCACAAACACACTTTAGAGTCTGGCAATAAAAATATACTCCCACCTCAAGGGACAACTGACGGGGTTTCAGTGGCATGTAACACATTCACCGTGCAGTGTGACCCCTCCTCTCCAGATCTGGAACACCTCATTCCTCCTGAAGTAACCCCAGGAACTCACCTTGAGGCAGCGCCTCCACTTCTTCCGAGGCCCTGCGCACCCCTCCACTCTGTCTAACTTCATGTGGGCACCCGTGCCATGGCGTGCTTGTGGCGCTCAGAGGACAACTTTCAGAGTTTTTTCTCTTTTTCTGACGTGTGGGTCCTGAGGATCAAACTCTGATTTGTCAGCCTTGGCAGCAATCACCTTTACCCACTGAGCCATCTTGCACGCCCAGGTCATGTGCTCTTTAACCCAGACACTCGTAGTAACTAAGTTCCCTTTTATTTTTTATTCTACACTTATTTAACTTTTGCGTCTGTGCATGGGTATGGGCACACATTTGCCACAGCGTCAGTGTGGGGGTCAGAGGACAACTGTGGAAGCCTGTTCTCTCCTTCTACCATGGGAGTCCTTCAGGGCATGGAGGAAGGAAACCTGAAAGCTCACCCCCAGTGACACACCCCTTCCAATAAGGCCACACCTCCTAATCCTTCCAAAACAGTTCCACCAACTGGGGACCAGGCATTCAAATATATGAGCCTATGGGGATCATTCTCATTCAAACCACCACACATGTGGGTACCATAGCAGTGTCTACGCTACTGAGGAAAATGTCTCCTTCCTCCATTAATCATTAGCTAAGTATAAATTCACAGGGAGGAGCTGGACCTTGTGACACCACCCCCATAACAGAATGCTGGTGTTGAGGCCCCTAATTGTATGTAGATCTTGTACAGGTAGTCATAGCTGCCATAAGTCCAAGAACTCAAAGTTCATGCCATGCCCTGAAGTCAGCTTCCTGTGACTTTTGCATTCTTTGTGTCTTCTCTTGAACAATCAAACCTGAGTTCTTTACTGTGTAGTCACATCTGGTGGCCGTGGGGGAAGTGATGACTACTCTGAGGAGAAGCCATTTAATAGCTACAGCTGACGTCGCCTTAGGGACGTGTGTGCTTATCTGTGGCACTAGTTTTCTGGTCGTCCTCCAGGCTTCTGAAGATGGGGTCTTCTTGGGACTGATTTGGGGCTTGGCATCATATAATCAGATCAGGATGATCTCCAGTCAGAGTAACTCTGAGGTTTGGAGCCTAGCCTGCCCGTCTGGGGCCCCTCGGCCGGTCTCCAGGAAGGCCTGCCTCTCTTCTCCTTCTTGCAGCTACGCTACAAGACCACAGCTGCCCTGACACGGGCTTCCTCAGCTGTCCAGGCTGCCACGATGACCGTCACAGGAGCCAAGACGTTGCTAGCTGACCTCGAGGGTACGTGTGTCCTGCTGAGCCCTGGGCTCTGCACGAGGCCCTGACAGCCAACTTGCCTTAGCCAGGGATGCCTGGTTAAAGGGACCAGCATCCAGTTATGTGGATGTAAGCCAGGTAGACCAGTCCTTCTGCCTCTCAGGACTTCCATGCTGTTTGTCTCTTCCTGTCTCACATGCCAGTCACTGGGTACTGGCCCCTGTGACCACGCCAACTAGCTCCCAGCATTATCAGACCAAGCACAGAGTTCCTCAGGACATATGGGAAGAGAACCTGTTCTCACTGGCAGGGGTGTGGCTCAGGGGGAGCGAGCTGTCTAAAGTATGCAAGGTTCCAAGTCCCATCTTCAGCACAGGTAAAAAGCAAAACTACGCTGGGCGGTAGTGGCACATGCCTGTAATCCCAGCACTTGGGAGGCAGAGGCAGGCATATCTCTGTGAGTTTGAGACCAGCCTGGTCTACAGAGTGAGTTCCAGGACAGGCAGGGCTGTTGCACAGAGGAATCCTGTCTTGAAAAACAAAAACAAACAAAACAAGCAAACAAAAAAAGCTAAACCAGGGGCTGAGGGTGTGACTCAGTTGGTCGAGTGCTTGCTGAACATGCATAAGGCCCTGTGTTAGACACCCCCCAGCCCCCCAAATAAACCAGGCATGGCGGTGCACACTCAGGAGGATCAGAAGTTCAAGTTCATTCTTGGCTACATAGTGAGTTTGAGACTACTCTGAGATACATGAGACCCTGTCCCCCCCCAAAAAAAAAAATCAAACAAAAAAACCCCAAACTGCTGGATGGTTGATCACAAGATCACACCTGTACTCCTAGCACTAGATAAGCTGAGGTGGGAAGAGAACCTCAAGTATGAGGCAGCCTGGGCTACCACAGTAAGTTCTGAGGCAGCTTGAGCTATTGAATGAAAGCCTGTATCAAAATACCCCAAACAAAACAAAACTCAAAACTATGTGTTACAGAGTTTCTGTTTAGAGCAGGCTAGGCTTCGCTGACTGCCCAAACCTCTGAAACTTGAAAATGAAGTTATGCTGGGCATGGTGGCACAGGCCTTTGATCCCAGCACTTCGGAGGCAGAGACAGGCGGATCTCTGAGTTCAAGGCCAGCCTGGTCTACAGAGCTAGTTCCAGGACAGCCAAGGCTACACAGAGAAACTCTGTCATGAAAGGGGCGGGGGGTGGGGGGTGGGGGGGTGAGAGAAAGGACGAAAGAGAGAAAGAATCCACGTGGCTTGTTTCACAGGTGGGTAGACTGAGAAAATCAGTCGTTCATCCGTCCTTGAGTCAGAGCTGAGCACTCTCTCTCTCTACCTCAAGGTCCACTGTGTGATTGATTCTCAATACCGTCTTCAAGCCAGAGAGAAGCCTTGGTGGCTCTTTGTCCCTCCAGCCCTGCCTGCTGCAGGCTTAGCCCAGTGGTGCGGGAGCGGCCATGTTTTCTGGTTTCCTTGGGGCCTGGAGTCCTGGTCATTCACTGGGGCCTCCTGTGAAAAAGACATGGCTGTGTGCACGCTCATGTAACAGGAGTCACATTTAGGAAAATGTAAATCTGTACTACGGAGTGTCTTATGTTATTTTAGGGGGCATCAGAACCACGGAGGTTGTAAGCCACCCACTGTATAATCTCATGGCTCGCTGGCCTCAACTTCCTTCTCCCTACATTGAGATGCACATGACCTCCCAGGTGTCACCTTCACCTTGTTGAGAGACTTTTGATGTGCTGGGTGGAAATTTGTCCCTCTGACTTTGCTCCATAACCCAAAAGATTAACTTCAAACCTCAATCCCAGGCTCTTTCAGCCCTCTTGAAGCACAGTCCAGTGACCACCTATGATATGACTGTAATAGAGACCACAAGACAGACACCATAATAGCCTATGGGTCTTTGCATTTGCTGAGGGCAATGCCTCACTCCTTTTGCTACTCTCCAGGGTCACCTTGAGAAGGGGACACACAGATCTCCTGTGTCTCCAACCTCTGCTCCCATTGTCCAAAAGTCCTGAGGCTGGTCAAGTACCACCAGTCGCCACCTGGCAGGCTCTCCGGCATGAGACTGTTTCTCCTGCCTCAGACTTGGTCAATTTTGCAGGAATGAAGCTGAGGTTTCCTCTGCCCAAGGAGCAGGCAGCGCTGAAGAGGAGGGCAGGTAGCATCGGGGCCAGGCTCCTGGAGGACACGAAGAGGAAGACCAGGCAGGCAGAGAGGATGCTGGGAAACGCTGCATCTCTCTCCTCCATCGCCAAGAAGAAAAGCAAAGAAGCAGAACTGTTGTCCAAGGACAACGCCAAGGTCAGGTTCAGGACTACAGTCTCATTGGCAGCAGCTGTCTTGCCCTCGGTGCTGACTGCTGTGGGTCCTGGCTCTCAGCTCAGAAGCACATGTGGGTGGCCTCACTGGCTCCTCAAGGAAAAGGAGTCACTGGAGGCCTGTGAGAATGGAAAGGCTCTAGGCTGAGCCAAGTTCAAGGCTTAAGTCATATGACCAGGACTCACTAGGACCCACACCTAGGCCCATTGGGATGTTGTCTAAACTTCTAGGTTTTTGTTTGTTTTTTATTTCTTCTTATTTACCTTTTTATATGATTTTAAGATGTTTTATTTTATGTGTACAATGTTTTGCCTGCATATATGGATGTGTACTATGTTCATGCCTGGAGTGGGCAGAAGTCAGAAGGATCCCCTGCCCGTGAGCCACTATGTAGGTGCTGGGAACTGAGCCCGGGTCCACTGTAAGGGCAACAACTGCTCTTAACTGCTGAGCCATCTCTCCAACATCCACTTTTTAATTTTCTGACAGTCTCCTGTTTTTAATCCTAGGCTGGCCTTGAAATCACTAGCTGAGGATAACCTTGAACTTCTGATTCTCCTGCCTCCACCTCTGCCATCCCCCAATTTATCCAGTACTAAAGACTGAACTCAGGGCCTCATGCATCTAACTAGTCACCTTGCCTGTCCCCTAGACTTTCTTTATCTGGGGCCAAATTCTAACTGCGCTCTCTCTCTCTCTCTCTCTCTCTCTCTCTCTCTCTCTCTCTCTCTCTCTCTCTCTCTTTCTCTCTCTATCATGCATGCGAGTGTGTGTGTGTGTGTGTGTGTGTGTGTGTGTGTGTGTATGTTCCTCAGATCCAGAGCTCACACGCAAGTGAACTCTCTTCATGAGTGCCTACATTACTGAAGGACTGGTCTGAAACTAGGGGTTCCAGGTACAGTTTCTTGTCTCCTTGCTTAGACTTTGGGCGGTTCCTCCTCCCCCTCCCCGACCTCTGTTTCCCCATATATAAACAGGTGGGGGCTGGAGAGATGGCTCAGCGGTTAAGAGCACTGATTACTCTTCCAGAGGTCCTGAGTTCAATTCCCAGCAACCACATGGTGGCTCACAACCATCTGTAATGAGATCTGGTGCCCTCTTCTGGCCTGCAGTCATACATGCTGTATATATTTAAAAAAAAAAAAAAAAAACAGGTGGAATTTCTCCACTAAGGAGGAATGAGGAGTTTGTAGTGAAGACATATCCTGACCCCAGCGCATGCCTGTTGATTGTGGGAATGAGTAAGCGAATGTTCTAGGTTATGACGTAGACTGCTTGGCATCATGTCATAAGAACTCTTGTCCAAGCCAGACCTGGTGGTACAAATCTATATCCCAGCTACTTTGAAGGCTGAGGCAGGAGGATCACAAAGCCAAGGCTATCGTGAGTAACTTAGTAAACCCCTATTTCGAAATAGAAGAACTGGTCATGGCACGTGGTTCAGTTGTAGAGTACTTACCTAACATGTGTGAGACTCCGGGTTCCAACCTCAGTCCTGAGAAAGAAAACCCAAGAACGAAGCTCCTCTTTCCCAAGGGACTTACTCTCCCCTCCCTGCTGCTGTCTGCAGCTCACCAGAGCTTTGCTGAGGGAGGGGAAACAGAGGCACCGTCATGCCAGCCGACTCGCCGGCCAGACCCAGGCCACACTCCGCCAGGCCTCTCGGCTAGTACTCACCTCGGAAGCGCGCAAACAGGAGCAGGAGGAGGCTAATCAGGTGGGTGTGCCCAGCCCTCACACCATCCACCAATGCCCAGTGTCCTGGTTAGGGTTACCGTTGCTGTGACGAAATATCAGGACCAAAAGCAGCCTGGGAAGGAAAGGATTTATTCCGCTTATATTTCCAGATAACAGTCCGTCACTGACAGAAGTCAGGGTAGGAACTCAAACAGGGCAGGAACCCGGCAATAGGAGCCGATGCAGAGGCCATGGAGGGGTGCTGCTTGCTGGCCTTCTCCTCATGGTTTCCTCAGCCTGCTTTCTTAGAGCATCCAGAACCACCAGCCCAAGTGTGTCACCACCCACCACGCCTGGGCCCTCCTGCATCAATCACTAATTAAGAAAATGCCCTACAGTCTTGCCTATAGCCCAGTCTTATGGGAGGCATCTTCTCAGTTAAGGTCCCCTCTTCTCAGATGATTTTAGCTTGTTTCAAGTTGACATAAAACCAGCCAGCACTCCCTGTCACCCTAGGGAGCCACTAAGATGTTCTTTCTGGCCCAGGTGGCCTCTGGGCTGAGCACCGTGGAGCACCAGATCCAAGAATCTCGAGGGTCTTTGGTGAAGGACATCAAGGTCCTGTCAGAGCTGCTTGCCAAGCTTGGTAAGGCTGGGGGTCTGTTGTAGGATACGTTTCTCCTCGTCCTAAAATCCATGGCTTCCACTTCTGTCCTGTCACCTGTTACAGGCTTTGTAGCCTGTGTAGGGAAGGGTGGGAGTCTGGAATTGAATTCACTGTGTCTGCAGGGGCACGAGGAGCAACGTCCGCTTCCTCTAGTCCTCCGGTGAGTATGGTGTGGGTTGGGAAAACAGAAAACTCACTATGTTCAAGGACACCCTTGGGTTCCCAATGAGTCACTTAGCCATTAGAGAGTAGACAGAATGACGGAAAAGCAAGGGCACATCGGTGAATAGGACTTGATTCCGACTCTGCCCCTTCCTGGGTGGTGGGACTTTGGGCATGCCACTTGACCTGTGAGCCGGCTTGCCCACCTACGAAACAAGAGTGCAAGTGGGGGACTCAGGAAGTGGGTGACTAGGGAGAATCAGCGGACACTGGTTCACAGGAAGGAAGGAAAATTCCACATGAAGCTGGGGGGGTGGGTGGGAGCGCATGGTTGTAAACCTAGCCCATGGGAGGCTGAGGCAGAAGGATAGATCCAAGTTCTAGGCCAGCCCTGGGGACATAGTGAGACCACGCCTCAAAAAAGAAAGAATGTGGGGAGAAGAGGAGGCTCAGCTGTTAAACCGTCTGCTTCCTGCTCTTCCAGAGGAGCCAAGTTCAGTGGCAGCTCCATGTCAACCGTTGGCAACAGTCTATCTCCAGCTCCAGGGCATCCACTACCCTCGTCTGGCCTCTGGGGGTACCCTCACACGTTCACATAGACATATACAAATACATAAAAATAAAATAAATCTTAGAAAAAGAAAGAAGGAAAGGAAAGGAAAACTCTGGACAGGCTTTAGCAAAGAGGGCTGAAAGATGAATGGCCAGGGCCCTATGGACGAAGAGCTGGTAGCCACTGGCTTGGATGTCCGGGACAATGGTCAGAGAGGTTGGGTTGGAGTGAACAGCATATATTTTTAAAAACTGTGCTAAGATATACATAACATAAAATGTACTTTGTGAACATGTTTAAGTATTCTCTTCCTTCCTTCCTTCCTTCCTTCCTTTCTTTTTTTTTTTTTTTTTTTTTTTCTGTGACAGGGTTTCTCTCTGTAGTTTTGGAGCCTGTCCTGGATCTCGCTCTGTAGACCAGGCTGGCCTTGAACTCACAGAGATCCGCCTGTCCCTGCCTCCTGAGTGCTGGGATCAAAGCCATGCGCCACCACCGCCCCGTTAAGTACACGTTTTGATGACTGTGTTAGCCATCTTTCTGTTGTTACGACAAACCTCCCAGGCAATCGACTTCAGAGGAGGAAGAATTTGGGTTAGGAATACGGCTCAGCGGTAGAGCCTCCGTCTCGCAGGCACCAAGTCCAGGGTCCATCCTTGGCACTGCAAGAGAGGGTGCAGGCAGAGGAGGAGTTAAACGTTGACTTTGGCTCTTGGTGTGAGTCCACTGACCCTGTTGCTTTGAGACTTTGGCAGCTCAGTGCCTCCTGGCAGTAGCACACAGTGGAGGAGACCTGGTCACGTGATGGCAGTCAGGACAGAGCAATGTTAATATCCCCGTCAGGGCACATTCCTGTTGACCAGGCCCCACCTGAGAAGGGGACAGCCACCTCCTCCTCATGCCACAGGCTGGAGACCCAGCCCCCAGCGCCTGGGGCTCCGTCATTGAACACTGTTGTGTCCCATCGCCACCATCTATCTCCAGAACTTTCTTGACTGTCCAAAGAGAAATGGCCCATTGAACACAGGCTCCCATCACCCTTCCCTGTACCTGCCTCCCTTCTATGGGAGCTCACCTTAGTGGACTCACACGATGCTTTCCCTTGAGAAGTTTTAGGAATTATTTCTTTATTTGTGTGTGGGGTTTGAGGGGGGCAGTGGGCTTGTGTGTGGAGGCTAGAGGTTGACTTTGGGTATCCTCTCTATCACTCTCCACATTATGTATTTTTTGTTGTTGTTGTTTTGTTTTTTGTTTTTCGAGACAGGGTTTCTCTGTGTAGCTTTGTGCCTTTCCTGGGACTCACTTGGTAGCCCAGGCTGGCCTCGAACTCACAGAGATCCGCCTGGCTCTGCCTCCCGAGTGCTGGGATTAAAGGCGTGCGCCACCACTGCCCGGCACATTATGTATTTTTATTTATTTATTTTTTCTATATCCAGATCAGCAGGCAGCGGGAGTATTTTTATTTTTGAGACAGGGTTTCGTTATGTACCTCTGGCTGTTCTGGAACCCATTATGTAGACCAGGCTGTCCTGGAATCCACAGAGATCCACCTGCCTCTGCTCCCCAGTGCTGGCATTAAAGGCGTATGTCACTATGTTAGGCTATTTATTTATTTTTAAAGTTTTTATTTTATTTCGAGACAAGGTCTCAACGAAACTCACTATGTGGGTCAGGCTGGCCTCCAGCTCACAGAGATCAGCCTGTCTCTGATTCTCCAGGACTGGATTAAAAGCATGTTCCACTGTGCCTAGCTTATATTTATTTTACTTTACTCATTTATTTTGTGTATTTGTATGTGTGCTTGCCATGGCAGGCAGATGGAGGTTAGGAAACAGTTTATAAGTCAGTCCCTCCCTTCCACCGTGTGGGAACCCAGGTCATCAGTCTTGGCAGCAAGTACCCTTTCTCTCTGAATGACCCTCTACCTCATATTTTGAAACAGGGTCTGAGCCTGGAGCTCATTGATTTGGCAAGGCTGGCCTGAAGTTCCAGAGATCTCTTGTCTCTCCCATACGCAAGCACCATGGTGTCTACACACTAAAGGAAGAAACATAATAAAAATTTAAAGGATGCAGTCCCTAAGGGATGACACCTCAGAAAGTTAGGATTCCATCAGTGAAAAACCCATCGATGACATCTGGGTTCCATGATCCAGTCTCCTCTTGATGGTGGGATCCATCAGCTGGGGAGCAAGCTTTCAACCCATGAGCATTTTAGGAGGTGCTTTGGATCTGTACAACAGCCCTCCTCTGCCCCCTTCTTGCCCTCAGACCCAGCTTTCTTCGCTTGGGAAGTTCAGAGGGACCTGGAAGCATTAGAAACTACTTGAGGCTGGGTGTTGGTGGTGCATGCCTTCAGGTGGATCTCTATAAGTTCAAGGCCAGCCTGGTCTACAGAGTAAGTTCCAGAACAGCCAGAGCCACACAGAGCAACCCTGTCTCAAAAAACCAACCCACCAAAGACAACAACAACAACAAAAAGAAACCACTTGGGGCTGACTTTACCTGGTCACCTCCCACCCAGTTGAGCTCCGTTTTTTTTGTTGAATGTCACCACACTTCATGACAAAGTGACAAGAGCACCTTGGACCCCACCCTGCATTCCTGTGTGAGCACCGGCCCCACTCTTTGTCTCTTGGAGAGGCTCATTCCTACTAAGTGGGAGGAATTCACGAGGGACCAGTGTGAGAACCCCATTGCCTGCCCCCCAGGCCCGCAGCCCTTCCCACCCCATGTCACCCTGGGCCTGTCTAAATTTGGACACCCGCGGTCTCCCCTGTGAGCCCACTTGACCAGCTCACAGTGGTATCTGCAAATGTGTGCTGACGTTTGAGCCAGCACAGATCCTGGGACCTCTCTCCCACAGTTTTGTAAATGAGGAAACTGGTTTTGGAGGGGAATCACTGAGGCTTTTAAAAATTTTTTTTTTTTTACTGGGCCAGGAAATGGCTCAGTGGGTGAAGACACCTGCTGCCTAGCTGACGACCTGAGTTCCAGCCCTGGTCCCATTATAGATGGAGAGAATGGACTTCTAGTCATGCCCTCAACAACAAATAAGTAAATATAAGTAAGTTATTAAGAATAAAAGTCCCAAGCCGGGCGGTGGTGGCACACGCCTTTAATCCCAGCACTCGGGAGGCAGAGGCAGGCAGATCTCTGTGAGTTCGAGGCCAGCCTGGTCTACAGAGCGAGTTCCAGGACAGGCACCAAAACTACACAGAGAAACCCTGTCTCAAAAAAACAAAAACAAACAAACAAACAAAAAAGAATAAAAACCCCAACAGCTGTGGTGGTGCATGGCTTTAATCCCAGCACTCGGAGGCAGAGACAGGTGAATCTCTATGAGTTGGAGGCTAGCCTGGTCTACAGAGTGAGTTCCAGGACAGCCAAGACTACACAGAGAAACCCTGTCTCGAAAAACCAAAAATAAATAAATAAATAAATAAATAAATAAATAAATAAATAAATAAATAAAAACCCAACCAGGTGTGGTGGTGAACACCTTTAAACCCAGCACTCAGGAGGTAGAGGCAGGAAGGCCTCTGTGAGGTCAAAGTCAGCCTGGTCTACATAGCACAAGTTCCATGATTACAAAAGAATAAAAAATAAATCCTTGAGACCTTGTTTAAAGATTTTTATTTTTATTTTACAAATGAGTGTTTTGCCTGCATGTGAGTGCACCATGTACATGCAGTGCCCACAGAGGCCCAAGAGGGTGTGAGACCCCCTGGAACTGGAATTACGGATGGTTGTCAGCTACCACATGGGTGCTGGGAACTGAACCTGGGTCCTCTGTAAGAGTAACACCTGCTCTTAACTGATGAGCCCCTCTCCAGCCCCAGATACTACCTCTGCATGTGAGCTGCATGGGATGGACACCCAGGCCTTCACCTCCTCCTGTATTCCCTCTCAGTCCATTTTTTCCAGTAGGAAGTGGACAGACCAGGTTCTGGGTGTCTGACCTGGGTCTCTGGCTCCCAAGGCCGGCAGGCAGCTAGCCTCTGCTGAAGCTGCCTGTGCTCCTCTCCAGGGTCCCTGGATACCCACCAAGCTCCTGCTCAGACCCTGAATGAGACCCAGAGGGCCCTAGAAGACTTGAGGTTGCAACTGGGTTCACGTGGAGCCCTGCATCGCAAGCTGAGGAGGTTGGAGCAAGAGTCTGCCAGGCAGGAGCTACAGATCCAGAGCTTTGAGAGCGACCTTGCTGAGATCCGCGCTGACAAGCACAACTTGGAGACCATTCTGAGCAGCCTACCAGAGCATTGTGCCAGCTAGACCCTGGCACACCCTCCCCACCTTGCTGTTTCCTGCCCACTCCCCATAGATGTCCCAGGTCTCCCTGCTGTGTGCTCATGTGAATGACCACACTCACTTGCTGGTGTGAGTACATGTTCACAACTCCACAGGTAGCGCTGTGTGCAGCCCTCAGTGTGTGTCCCCTGCACACACATCAGCAAGCGGCATCCCAGCATCAGTAAGAGGCATATCTGCATTCGTTCATGTATGGACATACGTGTGTGTGTGTGTGTGTGTGTGTGTGTGTGTGTGTGTGTGTGATGCACTTGTGTATTCAGGACCAACTATGCATGCACACACATGACAGTCCAGAGCTGTCAAGAGGTAGTCATGAGTTTGGACACACTTTGCATCCTGGGTGAGTCCCGTTATGAGAAATTCCCTGACGTATCTACAACCCTCCCTCCAGAGAGCAGAGCTTAAACAGGGGTGGCTCCTCCAAGGCTGAGAGATCTTGAGAAGGCAAGTCCCACACTCATGGTTACAGAACTGGCCCTGGGCCTACTATGCCCCCACGTTGCCCACTGGTCACCCAGCAGCTCTAAGAACTGAGGTGCCAGACAGATCAAGAAATGCCACGATTCTAACAGGATTCTCAGAAGTGGCATCCAAGGCCATGGTGTGGTTTGGGAGGCCCACAGGGCAAGGCACAGATGTCATTGTCTTTTGTGGACTCTTCCCTTCTGGGATCTGGATCTGCAGCAGACTCACTGAAGGAAGTGCCTACCTGGACCCATCTCCCATCAGTCCCCTGATCTACCTGAAGAACCAGGGTCTGGGGCATGAGGCCTCAAGCAGGCACTGGGAACGGCCCTTTGTGCCCTGCTGACCTGGTTAGCCTTTGGTTGACACATCTCAAACCTGTGCCGTGGCCCCACCTGTCACGAAGGATGCCACAGGGGTGTGGAAGCCTGGCTGTCGTTCAAGGTCTGCTGCCCATGACTGCCTCTGCCCAGGAATCCCTGGCATTTCTTCCTGCTGGTCCCCTCTTTTTCTGGGCCCTCTTTTAGTGCACGGCAGGGTCTGGGCACTAGGATAACAGCCACCTTTGCAAGTCCTGTCCCTTCCCCAGGTCCCAGAGGAGCTGATGGTGATGTGAACCGATTCTGATTATGAAGAAATAAAGGGCCGTTTTCTGAGCCGGGGTTGTGTCTTTGATCTGCCAGTGCTGGTGGGCAGCCAGGGCCTGCTGTGGATATGAACAGAGCACCTCTTGTGGCTGGCCTGCACGTAGGTAGAGCCTACGTTTGTGATCCCAACATGTGGGAAGGAAGTTGGCAGAACTGGGCTCATGCCATGCCAGGCTCTGTCATGGCAGGCTTTGCAGGGCCATGTGACCATCTCCTTTCTTCTCGATGCAGGGGGCTTTCAGACAAAGGCTCGGGGCCAGGAGAGAGGTGGCCTGCAAAGAGGTCTTCAACTGATTCCTGCTTCAGGGTGGAAGGAGACACTGAGGCAGGAAACTGAACTTAAAACCGTCCAGTAGCACTGCAAGGAGCAAGAAAGGACACCATTAAGCGGGAGGAGGGCTTGGGTTTGGGCCTAGAAGGGTGGAGAGACTGAGGAGAGAATGTTCCAGATAAGAGGGTGGGTAGCAGCCAGGGTTACAGGGTAGGGACCTGGCCAGAATAGGCCATTGCAAACCTAGGTTAGGGCAGGTTGTAAAGCACACTCTAGTCTACCAAGGCTTTTGACCACAAAGCCAAAACGATTCCCAGATTAGCTTCAACAGAAAAGCAGAGGTCATCGGAAGGGTGATTTGGAATCGAGGGCTAGGAAAGGCTGCCAGGGTACAGGTACGTCTGGAGACTGGCCCTGGGGCTGCTGTGGTGGCCAGCTTCTTTCTTCTGCCTCCTTCTTTGGTCCTGCCTCTGTTTCCTCTGTTTGCTTAGGTCTTGCCTCTGCAAATTAGCTTTTCTTGTCTTCCTTTCTTTCTTTTTCTTTTTCTTTTGTTTTTCGAGACGAGGTTTCTCCGTGTAGTCCTGGCTGTCCTGGAACTCTCTCTATAGACCACTCTGGCCTCAAACTCAGAGATCTGCCTGCTTCTGCCTCCCGAGTGCTGGGACTAAAAGTGGGCACCACTACTGCATGGTGAGCACCACTGTCTTTCTTGAACTTGGTGGATGATGATACTGTACAGCTTCCCCCTCCCCAAAGCCCTGGACTTGCATATCATCAGATCTTGATTTTGATTTTGATAATTTATTCATTTTTATTTTATATGTATGTGTGTTTTGCCTGCGTGCATGTCTGGGAACCATATGAATGCTTCAGATCCTCTGGAATTGAAGTTGTAGACAGTTATGGTTGCTTTAAACCAAACCCAGTGGACAAATAGACAGTTCTTTTAACTGCTGAGCCATCACTCCAGACCCAGGTCAAATGTTTGAGTGGTCAGGTCCCCAGCATGGTCAAAATAACAGGGACTCCTGGTCCAAGGCTTTGTGATGAGACATGCCCTACACCTCCCTCCTGGAGTGATGGGGGGTGCGGTAGGGTCAGTGTTCAGAGGAGAGGCGCATTCCTCCAGAGAGAATCTTAACGTCAGGGTGACAGTAAGGTTGATGTGGTGGGTCTTTCAAACTGGGTAAGACTGACTTGGTGAGTTGCCAGGGTTGGGGTAGAAAGGCTGAAGATAGGCAATTGGGTGAATAGGCTCTGGTGTATGTGATGCCAAGGAAATAGGGTTCTAAAACAAACTTTGGGACAGGATCTGACATTCCTCTGGCCTTAACCCAGTTTGTCCACTGATAAACATTCAACCCCTACCCGTTTGAGCCATGATGCTCAGCAAAACTCAGTCCCAACATCCCCAGTGGGCGGAGACCAGGCTTCCTCTCCATTCCTGGGCGACAAGTCTCAGGCCTGACATGTGACTCGTGCAGTGTGGTCATGCCTGGTGTATGCAGAACCACAGGAAGGCTCAGAGGTGGGGCTGCTTATGACTGAGTGGAATGCAGCAGCCGCTGAACATCTGGCTAACAAGGCAGTCAGCCGAGGAGAACTTGGGGTGGCCCCTGCCCTATCCCATGCAACAACCGGGAACAGCTGTTGTGTAACAAGTCTCCTCTTAGGTTAAAATGCTCCATCCTGCAGGGGAGCCCCTAAACCTAGGAGGTAAACAACCAAAAGCAAAAGCTTCACGAACTCCCCGAAACTGACCAGACTCACTAGGCCCCTCCCTGCCAGAGTAAGCAGAGCAGGGCTGCAAAGAAGACTCTCAAACAAGAAGAGCTGCCTGAAGAGGTTAGACCGACTGAGGTGCCCGGGAAGAGGTTAGACCGACTGAGGTGCCCGGGAAGAGGTTAGACCGACTGAGGTGCCCGGGAAGAGGTTACACCGACTGAGGTGCCCGGGAAGAGGTTAGACCGACTGAGGTGCCTGGGAAGGACACTGTCCATGCAACCTTATTGAGCTGTCTGCAGTGTGCGCCATGTTTTCCAGGTTCCCAGCTTTGGGAGCTGTCATCCATGCTCCAGTGGGCTTTGGTGGTGCAGCATCTGTGAGTCATTTCTTCTCCTGTAGGTGACCCTTCACTTATATTCTTGTAAGTGACCCCAATAAAACTCCTCAGTTCACCAAGCTGGACTTTGGTGGTATCCCTCCTTCGCTCTGTCCTAGGTTCCTTAACTGTGGTGAGTAGGTTCGGTAGGCACATGTGTTGCATCTCCCCAGGAAAAGTTTTGGCACACAACAACAGCCAACCCAATTACCTGGGGCCATAGATAACACGGGACTGGACCAATGAGTGCCCTTTGCTAAGTCCAGCTCCTGCCCAGATTTTTTTTTTTTTTTTTTTTTTTTTTTTTCTGTGTAGCTTTGGAGCCTGTCCTGGAACTCACTCTGTAGACCAGGCTGGCCTTGAACTCCCAGCGATCCGCCTGCCTCTGCCTCCTGAGTGCTGGGATTAAAGGTGTGTGCCACCGCTGCCCAGCCCTACCTGAGCTTTAAGAGGGAACACTACCACGTAGGCTTTTGAATTCCCAAACCCCTGACAGCCTTACATCTACACTGCAGTCCCTGCTCCTGTTTCCAGTCTTCTGCTCAGTAGGGAGCTTGGGATGAATGTATGGGCAGAGGGAGGTAACCTAGGAGCAAGGGTCCATGTCCTCCTGACATCTTTGCTCGCCTTAGCCCCATCTCATTCTGTCTGGCCCCCCTGTGTGAACCCTGACTATTCTTCTCCCCTGAAAAAGGACAATCATCTGGTTCCAGGACCCCACTCTAAGGAGTCTAAACCTGAGACAAATCCAGGGAAGAGGAATTCCTGGATCCAATTCCCAGAGACATACCAGAGGCGGCGACGTCTCTTTCCCCTGGCCAAGACATTCGATCTGTGCCTGTGTCCACAATTTAACAATTCGACGGAGACCCTTTCTCTAGAAGATCGATTGGACACTAGAATTCATGACCTCTTTCTCTACAAGTCTCCAGTTCTTGCATCCACAGCCTGGCTTCATCTGGAATCACCGGCTGCTTTCTTTCTTTCTTAAATTTTTATTTATTTATTTATTTTTAAATGCCGAATGCCATTTATTGAAGGAGGGAGGAGGTCTTAAATACAGGCTTACAGCACAATGAGAGAACCCCGGAGGGCAGAAGTTTACTACCGATCACTGGCTGCTTTCTTTCTCACCCTGGAGGACTTGTGTTCCAGGCTTCAGCTTCCAGATTTTTCTTTCAAAT